GAACTGTGAAGCATACAAAAGATGAAAGTGGAAGAGGGCAAAGTAGGCGCAGGGGGGGAGAGTATATATGTACATATATATATATATAGATTAGGGGGGGTTAGGCCTGCGACTGTGACTTCAACTTCCACATTCACATTCCATTTCCATCCTCATTTCCCTGTCTCAGTACTCGCTCTCTCTCTCTCTCTCTGCATCTCCGTCTTCGTTCTCTTTCAATTAGGGATTCGCAGAGCTCGCTTCAATGAATTCAATTGAATTGAATTGAGAGCATTAAAGAGAAGTAACAGAAGGGCAACCCGAATTGGGGACGAAATGGCCTTCGTGTTCGTTTGCCAAGGAACTTCTTCGACCACTTGGATATACATTTATGCACACAGAACAAGAGTCACTTTGCCGGCACAAATGTCCCACAAGTGAACGGACTCATCTGCAAATATGAACAGTTCCTATAACAATGTTTTCTTGCAAACCGGGGACAACTTCTTGTGTTGCTGGAAAGCTCCACTCTTGAGGCTCCACGAATGAAGTTGTTTGCCGTGTGTTTACGCCCACAGAGAGCAGCGCATCAAGATACAAGAAATGCAAGAGGGAAACAAATACGACAACAGCTAGACGGATAGATAGACGGATAGATAGATGGATAGATACATGTGTACATGGCTAGATAGATTTGTTGCTGATGTCTGCTAATGGGCACGGACTAGTGGCTGTGGCTGAGGCTGAGACGGTGGTCGGGCAGGGGATGGGCTACTAACCTTGACCCAAAAGTGTGTGCTGTGTGCTGTGTGCTGTGTGCTTGGTATGCACTGAAAGCGTGCTAATTGCAAAGACTTTTCAACACGATCCAATGGCCAATGCTCAGACTCCACACCCAGCGGCCCAGCATCGCCAGCATGATGGAGTCAAGTGTAAACACAATAAAAAATACAACACACGGGACTGGGAGGAGCTTCAGAGCTACAACTGGAAATAGAGTTGTTAGTTTTGTAGTCTTTTGTTTGTGCTCTTTGTGCAAATGATGAAGAGATCTTCTGAGTCAACAATTGGGCCAAACATGAACTCAGCCAATGTATTCTGGGTGTACTCATCGGACACACACATCTGGCTGTATGAACTCGTAAACTCTATGCCCAGATACGAGCAGGCGAACGCATGGGAGCAACCCCCATATCAGAAATCGAACAGAAATCGTACGTAAACACACACACAAGATAAGATAAAAAGTAACTCTTTGGTTGTGACTAGCAGAGGAACTTCGCTTTGGCTGTTTGCTCTTTGATTCGTGTCACCATGTGGTGTCACCTGTGTTTGCCATACTCTAGATACTCTGATAGATAATGCCACAGGGCCTGGCACACGGACCGGAAGCGCATTCTGGCCATCATTCGACACATCGTTAAGCGGCATTCCATTCATCAAAACCCATCGGGACCATCGGACCTGAGCTTCATTATGTCAAATGGAAAGTTGGCCAAATGCAAATCTCAGCACATCAAATATCCATAAATAGTTTCAATTAAATGATCCATCTAATGTCTGCTCAATCAAGGTATCCCATCCCCAGCTGCGGGGCAGAGAGCGGAGAGGCAGCACATTAAAGTGATCATAAAAGTTGCATGATCTCTGCTGGGGCAACAGGCACGAGGCACGCTCTTACGCTCTTACGCTTTTACGAGCACATCAGCCAATCAGGGGAATGACGAACACGCAGCACACAAAATGATACCCTGCAGCTAGCTAGCTGATCGTTTCCACACACACACACACACACGTAGCCCAAAGATCACCGATCAGCGATCACCATCGGACAACGGAGAAGTTGGTCGCTCACAAATGATGCACCAGGTCACCAGATGATGGTAATAATAATTAAAGAAAACACACACAAAACATGAGAGATGATCGATCGTTTCGGGTGTAGGATCGAGGATTGCCGAGTCACAGTCCCTGTCGGCGGTGATCCTTTTTGTTCCCAAAATGAGCTCAGAGATCAATGGAGAATAGAATGGGAATGCAGCCGGGGAAAAGGTAAGGTTCACACAACAAAGTTGCCAAGGAGAAGCGATCGAAGCCCACACTTGACACACTCCAGCGAGATGGTTGCAAAATCACCGAGAATAGAATCCGAGAGAGAGAGAGAGAGAGAGAGGGGGGGGGGTGTCTCCGAGTCTCAAGTCTCAAGTGCAGAGGTCTCTGATGCCTCATGAGGTAATGCAAGCAACAAACTAGACACATTTCGAGAGAGGAGAGCCACAACTGACATTGACATAATGATTCTTGGCTTGAGTTTGCTCGTGCCCCTACCCGTACCCGTACCCGTGCCCGTACAATTTCATGTCTTTGGTCTGGGGTCGGGGCTGGTTGGTTCCGGCCAACAACAACGGTCGGTCTTGCCATTTGAGCCACTTAATGAGCCACAAAGCACACACACTGACATCTGACTGGCATCTCGCATCTCGCATTCGCAAAACAGAAACTCAAAACTAAAGGCCAACTCCAAAGAGCTAGAGACAGAAATTCTTAATTGCCCGCCGCCAGCCTTTGAGCGATTCATATTTTTTGTTTGGCTATGCCAAAAATACATACAATTTGGGTAGGGGTACGGGTAAATACTATGGACTACTCCATGATGTAAGCTGCCCAATTTGTCTTCACCTTTGCGGCACATCAGGTTTTTGATTTTGGTTCATCCATGTGGGATGCTGGCAGGCAGCGCCTGCGCAACCATTTGGCATTCGCTGATCCACTGATCATTGATCACTGGACATTGGACACTCGATTGTCGGCTTGTCGCCATCATTCACCATTCATCATTCATCATTCATCATTCCGTCAAGCGGCGGACTCAGCAACTCAGCAAAAGACAACGAAAATCCCTTGATGACTAAATGCCATTAAATGTAATGAAATTTAAGTACGCACCGCTTGTACCCCTGACCCACTAAACAGTACACCAAAACAACAAACTTTTGGTGTTTGTGTGTTGTTTCTCATAAATACATTTTTGATTAGGGCCATCAGAGCATCGGCCCGCATCCGAGTTGATTTCGTTAATAGGCGACAATCGTCGAGAGCATTTAATCGGCTTCTGCGCCACTCCACTCCACTCCACTCCACTGGCAACTCCATTGGATGAATGTGGTGAGTAAATAATGGGCCTGGCCTCTGAAACGTCGCGTTAATTTGATAATAATGCTGTGATCTTAGGCTGAGCAAAAAAATATAAGAATAATCATCATAATAAAAATGATTTAACGCCTGCTTTGCGATGGCTCTTTGCGAAGTCTTCCCAGCAAAAGTGATGCCAAATCTGATTTGGGTAGCCGTTCGCTTGTGGGAAATTTGTGCAGCCTAATGCGCTGCTAGATCTTTGGTGATCTCTGGATCGAGAAAAGGGGATTAAGCTTAGTCCAGGAGATCATCTGCAGATTCACTTTCGGTGTGCAGATCATGGATAATACGATCCGCAAAGTCTTTGCTTGCGGAGTCTGTGGACAAGTCTCCGTCTCGTGGATCATTACATCAAATCGCATGCCACTCGGTGGAGGGGCGCCACCGCATGCGCCTGCAGCACCAAGTGAAACTTTAGCATTTCATTGTCATCAGGGACGAGCAGACAACTTCAATGGTTTCACTTCACCCACAGCACACATGGACTTCGAGTTGGAGATCATCCATCAAGAGCTGGCGAGGCCCGAAGTTGGGGCGCAGGGAGGGTTGGGGGCTCAGCAATTAATAAGCAAATAAAATGGCAACTACATTTCGGGTTCATGACCACAAAGCCTCAACCCGGCAGCCAGCAAGCAACCAGCAGCCAGCAAATTGCGTGCGCGAACAACTAAATTCGCCCGGGGCCTGGGAATCTCTTTCTCTCCTCCACTCCAAGTGAAGTGGCTGAAGATGCTGGGATGTACATACATAGATGAGACTTGCATGGATGCGTCTCCGTGTGAAATTAATTGAAATGTGTCCAGTGGCAAGAGGGCATCAGCGCTTATCAGCAGAGATTCCAGAACGATGTTCATTCGATTGCAGTCGGAAAACCTTTCCATGGTTTCACTTTCTGGTTGACAAATTGCTGGAATTGTTAGTTCCCTTTTGTTATGAAACATGATGATCGTTCCAAGAACTTTGCTGGTCCACAGTCCTACAGGCAGCCGATCCGAGATATCTCTGTTTGATCAACTGCCAGACGATCCAATGATCGATTCCCCCCACCTCGAAATAAACAAATAAACTGTCCGAAGGGGGGTGGCACTTTTACTGCTGTCCATTTTTGGGAGCGCAGGAACTGGTAGCCAAACCGAGCGTGCAGTGGATGATCATAAATACTATTTAAGGGGGAAGACAGAGGGACTTCCGCACCCGTCCATCCACCAGCGATCGATCGATCGATCGATCGATTGTCACTTTTGGCAATCAGTGAATGAATTTTGCGGCGATTTATCGATTCGACAAGCGTTTGCTGTGAGCCGCTGAACTGAATTCCAATTGAGGCGATAAACACACACAGAAGCACAAGCCACTCGATAAGTGAAACCGAAAATGCAGTCCATTCGCGCCTGTGAGTCACGCATTTCTTTTGGCGCTCTGCCCATTCATAACCACTCGACTGAGCTCTGCGTTTCTGATGCCCTGACCTACGACATAATCCCCCCCAGCAAATATTTGGACAGTCGTCATCTCGGTCTTCGTGTGACGAAACCACTTGTATTTTTATCATGGCCAAGATACGAGCCAGATACGATGCCATAGAATGGAATGGAGTGGCATGATTCACGCCACGACAGCGGAACGCTTTCCCAGAATTCAGAGTGATTAAAGTGCGCCAGATCTGCGGCAAGCGTTAAGCTATCTGCAAATTATGGCTGTGGTGTGCTGTTCAGGGCTGCTCTTGGAGGCATCTCTAGGGTTTGCTCTAGCAAACAGGAACCGTTCCCTATCAATAGGAGTCCGGGCTGAACATTTACTTCTAGTCGCTTACTCTCTAGACTTACCGATTAAGTGTGTTGACGCCTCTCAAAGTTCTTCTCGCTTTTGGTGTTTCGTTGGTGAATTTCTCCCAGCTGAAAGGAAATCGAGAATGAAAAAAACACATGTACACATGGATGATGAATGATGAATGATGAATGATGAATGGATGCTCCATGGCTGGGTCTTTGGGGGGTACTTCCACCGAGTGTGTGACATCATCAGAAACGTAAGTAGGAAAACGGTAAATGGAGTTTTATTTGCTGTTTGTCATTGAAACGTGAGTGAGGCGACACACACGCACAGCACAGCACAGTACAGAACGAGAGAGAGAGAGAGAGGTGGCTGCCTGGCTGGTCTAAACAAATAAGTCAATAAATAAAGGCGTTAACTTGGCTCAAATGGCCTACGTAAATATGCGATGAAATGAGCGAAAACCCGCCCGAGAAGCCCGCCGCCAAAAGGTGGGCTCTACAGACGGACCCAGTGCCCCTCTCCCCGTTCCAGTCTCCGCTACAGATTCAGATTCAGATACAGATTCAGATTCCGATTCCCATTCAGATTCAGATTCAGGTGTAGGTTTCTTTCGCAATAGCACCCAGACATGCGACAGCGGAGACGGAGCGGTGGGTACAGAAGTTGGCAATAAGCTAAAAGCTGACAAATGTTTGACAAGCGGAAGTGCCAAAGAGAACCACAAAACACGAGCACATCAAACGAAATGCGAACGAAGGAGCAATCCTCATGGATTGGGTGTGCCGTGGCCGTGGCCGTGGCCGTGGTCCTACGGGTAGTCGTGTCCACGGGAGTGACTCAATCGTAATAGACGACCACCTTTTACGTTGGTGTCGACTCACCTCACTCGATGATTTTCCCACGAAAGAGCCTCAAGAATTTTCCACGATGCCGCTGCAGAAACTGCAGTCAGGTACTTGGGAATTGGGCAAGGTCAATGCCACATACGAGCCGGCCATAATGCGCTTATTGCGCTGACCTTTTCGGCAAAACTCCGCTCAGCGAGGGGGCAGGGAGGACGACACAAGGAGTGCGTGACGAATGCCCGCGCATGCGGTCATCAAGGTCAGACCTCTCCCTCTCTCTCTCTCTCTGACAGCAAACAGCTGACGTGACTCAATCTCCTGGCAAACAAAACACCTCACACGAGGCGCCCCCATGGTGGGTGGGATCGGTGGGCAGGCATCTGACTCATGGCAATGCTATCCAAAAAGGCCTTCAAAATAGTTTCGCCAACAATAGAAGAGTCGCCGCCACATTGTCATAGAGCAGGAGTACATTTATAGAGTTCTATTCACGCAGAGATGACTAAAAGCCTAGAGGAGAATGGACGAAGGCCAACATCCACTAGGCAAAGATTCTGTCCTATGCACAGGGTATCATACTGATATAGTTTCCCCAGCTGAAGCCCCACTGCCAAAGCTATGCGTATCTTTCTTTGTCCATGGATGGACTTTCTTATCGATGCAGCTATAAAGCTCTACGCGAATACTATCGTATAAAAGGTGGCTCCTAGCTGATTCTTTGTTCTGATGATCCCTCAGCTATGTCCATATGTGCCCATAAAATGTACTTCAACAAATGTTTATGCCCGTACATACATAGGCACATGTTTACATACATTTTACATATCTTTTGTGATTTGTCATTTTTCCCCTTCAGATAAACCTCAGCTCGAGTTTAACTATTGTCAGAGTTTGTAGTTCATTCAGGGTTCTGCTGCATTTTTAAATTCTAATTAAATGCGCCACATGTGCGACAGTGAAAGTAGTCGATCACTTGATACCCTTGCGAATCGATTGACCGATGCTATGGCTACTGTTTTTGTTCCCTTTCTCCTTTATTCCGCCTTCTAGAGTATGACAGTCCCAGACATTGCAGATGTACATGCAACGGCAAGTATGTATGTACATGTGTATGCACATAGGACATACAGGTGCAACGATAGTCTCCCAATAAATAGCAATAACTCTGGCCAATAATAATAATAATTTACAGTATTTGATATAACTTTATAAGCTTCCTTCTCTCCCTCTTTCTCTAACTCTCACACTTCTGGCATTTGATTTCTTTTGTTTTCCCGTTAGCTTTGATTCGATTTGGATTTTTGAATGTGGCTGTGGCTGTGGGGCTGTGTTTTTTGGGCTGCGCGACACGCAAATCGATGGTTTCCACCCTCCACACGCATAGACCCTGCAACACACACACACACACTACACCACTGGCTATACAATAATGGCAAAAAAAAATAAAGCACTAAAAAACAGCACTAATATTTACGGTTTATTCTGCGCTTACTTCTCTGCACGCGACCCGAACAGCGACGACACAGAGGTGGCTGCGGTAGCGGCAGCGACAGCCGTACAAACAGCGAGAGCGACAGTGACAGCGTCGGCAGTGGCAGTGGCTCCAAAATTCGGGCACCAGACAAGGAAGCACGTTATTACAACGGTAAATGTGCCAAAAAAATATAAAACGCCAGCAGCAGGAGTAGTTGCAGCAGCGCAGTCAGCGTCAGTTATTGCACGTTCACACCACATCACAAGAAAAAAAACACATTGCAGAAGAGTAAAAGAAAAACCATAAACTATAAACAGTAAACAGTCAACCGAAGTAGAACCAAAAGCCGACACTGCAAGGAAGAAAGGATTTTGCCGGGGAAGTTGATGGTGCGCCCTGGACGTGGACCGCGCGACACGAAGTACCGCAACACAGCGACTCCGAGAATCCGCTACACGGCAGCACGCGACGACCATATGACTGACGACGACATCTCAGGCCACACCGCAAAAGAGGGTTGCTGCTGGTGCTGCTGCTGCTGCTGCTGCTCCTGGGCTGCAAATGTTCTTCTTCTGTTCAGCTTCCGCGCAAGTCCTGGGCCCAACTATTAGAAGAGAGGCCGCAACACGGTAGCAGCAGCAGAGAGAACTTTTGCCAATAGTTGGACCTTCGTACTGGCGCAAGGTGGAGCGGTTGGTATGTGCAACGAAGTAAATAAGAAGCCGATCGAGAGAGCAAAATGAAATGATTGCCATATGAAGAAGGAACATGTGGAATGCAAACAGTGAAATGTGAACAAGTCTGACAGCGAAGAGAGCACTTTGAGCCGCACATTTGTATGTACATGTACATGTATGAACCCTGATATATTACGCAATAATATTCCCAACACAAACTAATGGCTTTGGATCACGTAAACTGGAAGTTTTAGTGGGTGAAATTGTTCTTTGGCATTCTATTTGAACAATTTATGAATTGCTTCCTCGAATCTTTAACAGAGAGCATAACATCACTGTTTGTCAAATGATCATCAAAGTGTTGACACATTTCGTTGCGACAACCACTGTGCATTGATTTCGAGACTCTTCCTGCAATTATTGTTATCCATAAACGCTATCTGTGGTAGAGAGGGGTTCGGGAGGTGTTTTGAAGGGAGGGCGCATGCGTTTCCCATGGCCCTGCGGAGCATATGGAAGCAGCGGGACTGTGGGACTCGGCTCTTTCCTCCAGATGTGTGTGCCTACATTGTACAGCCATATTGTATGTGTGTGTGTATGTGCATTTATTTATCAGCATATTCGTTCCACTGCGGGAGAGTGCAGCGGAAAGTCTCTCTTCTTATCAGTTTCACGCATTTACTGCGTTTCAAATCAAATTTCAACGAAACTGCTGCAATGGCTTTCTCGCTCTCTCATGCAATGGTGCGATGGGGGTTCGCTCTCTTTCACTCGACTCCTCTCTGCGCTCTCGCTGAGGGCGACCAACAGGCGTAAACAGCTGTAAATTGTTTGTTGACACACAAATACAAGCACACAAACGTACGCATGCATGTGGGATCCTGTTATGTTTCATACGGATTATTGCGTTCAATTAACAAACAAAAATCTTGAGGGTCGACCGATCCGAAGAGCGAATGAGCGAATGAGCGGGTGTAGTTAATTTATGGCATGCAGCAGCAGATTTTAATTTTATTCATCATTCAATTTCCTGGAACTCCCGCAGCTCGAGTCACCCCACAGCACAGCCCGAGCCCTACTGAGAACTCTGCACACAACCTCTGCCATGTGCCCATTCTTGATGACATGACGAATCTGCGTATCCGCCAAGTTCCACAAAATTCACACACCAACACGCTAGGCCAGTGGGGAAATTGCAACGAAAGTAAAGCGGAAGGGAAGGGCGTCTTCAAAGGCCAAACCAAATCATTTGATACCCTTGGAGAACGATCAGTGGGTACAGCAACTACAGAAGCAAAGCAATCAACAAGTGCGTGTATGTAGAACGCTTTGGCTTCGCTTGATAAAAGCACTATTAACATATTGCTTTACTTCCACTCGATTCTGATATTGAGGCAGCCACAACCTCCCCTTGTCCAGATTGTGCCCAGTGCCCAATCTCTCTCGTATTTGTGTGCGTGTGCGCCCCAAGCTTAGCTTCTGCTCTGTTCTGTTTTGTTCTGTTTTGTTGTGATCATTTCTTTATCGAGCAACCAAAAAAAAGGTTAGCTCGAAACTTTCGTTGCATCACATCTTCCTCTCTGGGCTCTTCGTTCGCTTGCGAAAAAGCGAAATAGTAAGTGGACGATAAATGGTAAACGAAACTGATAAGACGGAACCATTGGGGCAGTTATATTGTTCCTATGGGCACTGCGATATTGCCAATTTATCAGAGAGCTATGACACTAGTATAATGTAATCACATTTATTATATGATGACGGTCTATGACATATGACAAAATATGACAGAAACCCTCTATTCGGAACGGAAATTAATAATGCTGTGATAAATTATTGCAATTCAAAATATGTGTGCATAAATGTTGTTGAAGAATTGAAAACCAAACCAACCTTTAGTATTCGTCGATCTCAGATCTCTGAGTAAATTTATGCAAATTGTATTTTTGTGTGTGTGTTTTTTGTTTGTTTTTTGTATGCTGAGCGAACTTTCTCACGATCAAGAATTGCAACAACAAAAATGGTGTCGAAACTGAATAGAATTAAATAATCTCAATAAACACTCATAGTATATCAATGTAGTGTACTGTATATATCGAATGTACCGAAGGATCTCGGTATCAGAATTCGTATTTCGCGTACTTGTCCGTTCAGGGAGCGCTTCGGACCGACGACTGGTTGGGCAGATTTTAGCTCGGATTTCGACTAGCGCGGATTAACTGTTTTGAGAAACTGTTGCTTCGTTTGCACACGGGTGGCGGATACTTTTGCCGAACAAAAAAATAACTCAAAAAAATTCGCAACGCAAAAATTGCCGTTGGCAAGTCGGTCGCATAGCGGGAAACGGTCGCATGCGCACGTTTAAAACATTCAACGATAAACGATACATTTTGTTTTGGTCCGGCGACAGTGTGACCGCGGCGTTGTCGGCAAGACATGCCGTCGGAGCCGTAAAAAACATACCGCAATATACCATCTCCTCTTTGAAATATACCGATGAAAATCATATTCCTCGATTTTGAAATTCTGTTTTATGCGAAGTTCTGAGAGTTTCAATACCCTATGTTCTTTAATATACCTCAAGGGAATTGAATATATTGATATACCTTATATATACACTGAACTCTACCACCCCCGATTTGCCCGCCAGAATTGCTGAATGGAAGAGTTCCAGAGTTCTCATTTTTGCGTTGACTTAGAGAGCGAATGCTGTGCAGTTTTGTTGATAGTGTATTTATTGAACTAAAATATGGACATTAATGTGGCATATTCATTAACTCTTCGAATATGTGAGCAAGTCACGATATTTATGTTTTTTTGTGTGTTTTAGATCATAGCCCGCAATATTTGAATCATCTTTTTAGCTCACAGCTGATGGGCGCATGCGTTCGTTCGCTGCCAGAACTAGTTCCAGCCCTGGTTAGAGTTGGCAGCCCCGCACTAGGAGGCCCGCAACATTCAAAACACTTCATCAACTTCTGTGTGTGTGTGTGTGTGTGTGTGTGTGGATTCCAATTAAACAATTTCTAAAATCTTACAACTAAAGCTCCCAATAAAAGGACTAACATTCAGACATTTAAAAAACGCTTAACTAGTTGTGTGATGAGTGGTTGTGGGGGACTACTCCTGGCTGAGCATCTCCACATCCTGCCAGAAGGGCTCCGAAATGTTGACCGCCTCATCGCCATTGCTATCACTCGCCCCCGACTCGGAGGACATCTCCAGTGGCTCGTTGCTGTGCACGATCTGCCACTCCTGGTTGGCGGTCTCGCTGGGCGTGGGCGTCGGAGTGGGCGTGGCCAAGCCATCTGCTCTGCCTGGCTCCGTGTCCGGCGCTGTGGCTGCGGCATCCTTGCTGCCTTCTCCGCCCACGGAGCCACCCAACTTCAGAGAGTTTATCCCATTGATGGCCCGCACGCATTTCGAGTCCACGCTGCAACGAAAATGGATTAGAGACCCTTTGGGCTGGCTCTGCCGTGTGCCTCGCTCACCTGAGAGCTCGATAATAGTAGTCGAGGGCCTTGAACGGCTGCTTCTCGATGCGCAATATGTCGCCCAGCAGGGTGTAGAGATTCTGATTTGGGTAATTGATCACCTGCTTCTCCAGCAGCCTGATGGCCGCCTTGGTGGCCCCCTCGTACTGGCAGATCTCGGCCATCAGGGCCACCGCCGGCGTGTAGCTGGAGTCGATCTTCAGCGATCGCTCCACAAACTTTTTGGCACTCCTTTTGGCCACCGGATTGGTGGAGTGGAAGAGCGTTCGACCGAACATCTGTGCAATGGAATGAAGTGAAATGAAAGCCCACACACAATGAGGATTCCCCACCCTGCGACACTCACCGTGTAGCTGCGCGGTGATGTGCGGAAGCTGCGTATGGCCCAGACGCACATGGTCTGGGCCTCCTTGAAGCGCTTCTGGGCCACATAGCAGTGGAAGAGGCCCTTGTAGACCTCGAAGCGATACGAGGCCAGGCCCTGCACGTTGCGGAACGCCACGATGGCCTCGCCGTACCGCTTGAGCGCGATGAGCAGATTGCCGCGCAGCAAGTGGCCCTCGATGTGGCGCGGGTCCATGTCGAGGCAGCGCTCAACAAAGGCCAGTCCGCGCTGGTACTTGGCGTCGCTGTACATCTTCTGGCCGTGCACGAACCAGTGGGCGGGGCTGAACTCCCGATCGGCAGTCACGCGCGTGAAGAGCTTCTCCTGCTCGTCGGCGCTCTGCTCGTTCAGCTCGTACACAACGGACAGCAGGCTGATGGCCTCCATGTTGTTGGGGTAGGCCATGACCGCCGAGCTGAGGTACTGCTCCGCCTGCAGATGGTTGCCGTAGTAGTAGAGGCAGCGCCCGATCTCCACCAGCAGATGCTCGTTGCGGCGCAGCTTGGTGTTGTCGTTCAGCCGCTGGAAGGCCCTGGATGCCTCCAGGTGCTTGCAGCCGTACAGCAAGGCCAGACCCTTGATCCAAGTGCTCAGCCACTCGATGTTGCGCGGCGCAGGAGCGGCTGCAACATGCCATAAGGAAGGGTTCTTTGCACTGCAGGCGGCACACACTCACCGTTCATGACCAGAGAGTTGACTTCGATGCCATCGACGCCCAGCTCGAGCAGCGCCTCGATGGACTTCAGGGACATGGGGCACTCGCGGAGCACCTCCTTGTAGGACAGCGCAGCGTCGGCCTTGCCCTTGCTGCCGGGCGAGGCGTGATGGTGCAGGCGGGCCAGCAGCAGGTTGATGCGCGGCGTGCGGGTCTTTGCTGGCAGCGCCTGCAGCGTGCTGATGGCCTTGGTCGGCTCGCCCACCTCCTTGTAGCAGACGGCCAGCTGGTAGCGGAGTTCCGCGTCTGTGAACTGGCTGTTCATCATCTCGATGGCCGTCAGGCAGGCGCTCTTGAAGCGCAGCATGGTGCGGCGTGTGTGCAGCACGGACTCCAGCTGCTGGTGGGCCAAGCGGAAGTTTCGCTCCTTGTAGTGTGCGTTGGCCAGGTAGAGCATCACCTGGTACTCCATCTCCAGCGTGGCCACATCTCTATCGTTCTGCAGCAAAGTGCTCAACAGGCTGGCCTGCGTGGGGGAGGGGGGTGAGGGAGTTATTCGCAAGAAAATTCTGAAATTGGATTGTGGAATGGATTTTCCAGGATGCGCTGCTTACTGCTGGGATGACGGACTCGTAGAGCCTGTGATCGTACAGCTTTTGCACATTGGCAAAGAGTGCGTTTTCCATGGTCTCTCGCGTGTCTCAGGGTCTCAGGGTCTCAGGGTCTCTGCCTTTCCTTTTGCTTTTCCTTGCTGCGCACAAATGCCGCCAAAACTCAGAGGTGGCTCAGCTGGTTCGCCACTGTTCAAAGGACTGGTTCTTGGAACTGCTAGCTTACGTTTCGATTTATGCAAACTCTTAGCTCGGTTTAATAAATTAACAATTGGAAAACTAAATAGAACGCGAAAAGTGGATAAATTCATTTATTAAGAGTCAACATGAGCAGAGGTTTGTTGTATTTTCATATTTTCGACTGTCGTAAAGAACTACTGAATAATGAACAGAACCAAATCTTAAACTGTCGCTGCTGGCGCTGCTCAACACTGCCTTATTTTTCGAAAAAGTCGGAAAAGGTATTTAAAGTATATATTTTCGATATAGAATTTCAAAGTACATGGCGGGAATGGAATGTAATAGGAAGTAAATCTTAAAATCTTCAAGGCAATGTTCTGGGCACTGCTGCGCATAGGCGCATTCTTCGAATCCCTGAGGGAGTTGATAAATCTTTCAAAGTAATTTTCTATTACAGGTTGTTCATGTTCTGAGCAGAGATAGTTGGTGTTGGTGTTTCTCTGCTGCCCTGTGTGTATGTGCGTTGTTTGAAGGCGCGGGCGTTCAACTTTCCACTGTAGATACATAAGTAGCGGGGTTTTCACACCTGCATTTTTATTGGGCTAGCACAGACACACATGCCAGCTCTTCTAGCTCTCTGACTCCATTCCATTCCCGCCAAGTACTTTGAAATTCTATTTTGAAAATAAATACTTTTAATACTTTTTCCGACTTCTTATGAAATTTTTGGAAAAATGAGGCAGTGTTGGCAAAGGACATCGCTACCTATCGATAGAAAGGAAAGGGACGGTTAATTTAATTTAACATTTTTATATTTTTTTTGTTTGGCGAAAATACAAGTAATTGTAATGTATAAAAACAAACGAGTCAATCAGCATAGACACTACTTAGGTACTAACTGGCTGGAGAGTGGCACCACTTCAAGGGACTGCTGCTTCTCTCCTTTGTCGCTTATGAAATGCAAAATTTCGAATCCCACCTCGACCATAATCAGGATAATGATCATCCACTCGAGGCGGATGTGGTGGGCGTCGTTGAGGTTGTGGGAGACCAGTTCGGCCAGCTCCACGCAGTGGCTGATCTTCTCGTTCATCACTTTGGTGCGCCGCGAAATGCTAAAGTAGGAGCACACCTGCAGATAGAGTCCCTCCAGCTCCTCCCTGTCCCAGTAGAAGTCGGGCGCGTCCAGCAGATCCGACGACAGGTTGATCACGTGGCGCAGGGCGAACAGCTCGCCCGTCTTCCGCAGCATGGCCGCGCGGGAGATGCGCAGCCGTCGGCCCCGCTTCAGATCCTCCGTCAGGTGCTCAATCGAGTCGATGTAGCGGTCCAGCGTCGCCTCCCACATGCCCAGCTTGATCGACTGGGCCATCGCATTGGAGAATGTGTACTTGTACAGAAAGCTGTCCCTGTCGCCCGTCACGAAGAACTTGCCCTTCTGGAAGAAGGCGCGCGCTGTGGCGTTGAAGTCGCTGCTCTCCGCCACCAGGTCGCCCTCCACATCGACCGCCGCCGACGGTATGTAGGTGTAGGGCATCACCTCGCTCTCACCGTGCACCAGGGCACTCACGTACGACTCCCGCTCGAAGGAGCGCAGGAAGTTCAGCACGTTGTTCATCTCGATGTCGCTGCAGTTCCAGAACACAACGGATCCCTCGCGAAAGAAGAATATCTCGCGCGGCTGCTGGCCCGTCGGGTACTTGGCCGCCACGAAGAGCACGTTCTGCTCCACATCCAGGTTGTCCGTGGAGAAGAAGCGCTTCGTCTCGTACAGATTCTGCTCCTTGAGGGCAGTCTGCAACGCCTCCAGATTGTACTCTTCGGCTGTGGTGTAGCCGCGTGTGTTGAGGAATCCCAAAGCGGACAGCTCGTCGGTGGCCAGCCGCTTCTTGCGCATGATGCGCGTCCTAATCGGCGACAGTATCGACTCCAGTCGCTCCTCCACCAAAGGCATTGGCTTCACACTGGGCGCTGGACCCGAGGTTGGCGTCGCGGTCTGTGTCGCCTTCTTTGTGGCAGCTTCTGTTTCCTCTGTAACTGCTGCTGGCGGTCTTGTGATTGTGTTCATCCATCGCCGGACTTGCGATTGCGTCTGCAAGTGCTGGCGCGGCTGGCGCAGGCTTCTTAGGATCAGCTTTTCGAAACGCAGGCGCGCAAAGTTCATTGTTGCTTGACTTTAGTTAAATGGGCTGCTGCTGAAATCGTTGAAATGGTTTGGTAATACCCCAACCAGCCGGCAATTGCCCGATTACCACTTGTTATGTTTATCGGTGCCGGTTCAGCGTTCAGTGTAAACGTACTTTCAGATGGTTGGCAATTGTTAGTTTTTGATAATTTAATCACATTAAATATACAGATGAAGCAAAGCGAAAGGAACTACGAATTATGTTAAAAATGAATCGTCTGTTGTTTGTATTTAATCACTTTTCGTGCAATTTTCTTTGAAAACATAAGCTATCGATATACCGATAGACCCATCAGCTGTTTCACGCAACATCAGTTAACGTGCTGCAGAATTGTACCCAAAAATAAAGTGAAAAACTCGCAGCAAAATGCATCTGACACTGATAAACTTTTTTAAGAAAACTGTGCCGGGACATATATTCCGCGGCAAGCGGCGTCTGGTCAAGCCGGTCAGCAAGCGGGCCATGGAAACGCTGACCCGGGAATATGATCGACAGGAGCACATCATGTTCCTGCTGCGGCATCCCTACCTGACGCTGGTAAGTGTAACCAACCACAGCCTCTAGCTGTCCCTACCCAGACAAAATCTCACGCTACCCAAATCTCTGTGCAGGAGCAATCGTCTGGCCATGCCAAGGAGCTGCAGAAACGCGAGAAACTGGTGGCCAAGTGGACGGATGAGCAGACAATGCGCAAAATGAAGCCTCATGTGACCATCGAGGAGCGCCTGAACCACCTGAAAGTCAAGGAGAACTGGGACTAGCACTTAAATCAACTTGTTCCAACCCAAGATGCATTAAATTAATTCTAAAGTAAATATAGATTATTTTTTATGGGAATTATGTAAGGGGCCAAGTGGAGCGTGGGATGGAGGCATCTCTGTCGCTGCCCCTGCTGCCATGTTACTCTCTGTTATTAGAAAAGTTTCCATAGCATTTTCATAAGGAAATTTATATTTTGAAATTCTCTTGTGGCGTGCAAACGATGGATCACAGGATGTATGTTTAAGGCAGACATTTAGATAAAGGAACAGGATGTGAAACCTAGCTTAATTGTCCCCCTAGGGGTTCATCTACTGCAGCTGATAGCACGTCTATGCCTCTGCCTCTGTCGTTCTTGTGTTCAGAGTGTTTCATTTTTATTCGATAATTGCATTTCAATGTATTGTATATAATGTATATTTTATGTATATGAACTCGGTTTATGTACATATGCAAGGCATGTAAGATTAGATTCCCTCAGCAGTATCCTGCCCGTATCCTCATGCGCGACTCTCAGAATTTATTTTGCAATTGTCTTTTGTTTGTTTCTTTGATTACTTTAATGCACAATTTCAGGGGGTAGATAGATCTATTCTCACTTTTAGAAAGCACTTTCAACAATTTGTCTCAAATTGATAAATCGAAAAATCACCAAAACGCCTGCAAACCGTGAGGTGTGTGTGGGGGTGGCGGGGAATGATCAGAGTGGGGTTCGGTTATGGGTTTTTGTGGGGATGTTTTAGGTATGTTAACAAGCGCTGATCTCTCTCTCTCTCTCTCTCTCCAACATTCATCGTTCATCTAGCAATAATACCAATAGAATTGATCTCTCCAACACCTCGATTGAGATTTAAAGGCTGTTTGTTGCCTGCTTGCCACGAGGTTTCCTTCATTCATTTCTGGTGTCCTTCCTGGGCTTCCATTCCTTTCCTCTTCCTATGCTTTGCTCTTCGTTTGATTATTTTGTTGTTTCTTTTGGTGTGTGTGTGTAACCTCGATAAAACATTTTGTAACAATTTTTAAATTAACTTTAAAAAAATAGATTTTCGCTGGCTGCCGCTGCCGCTCCTGCTGTTGCTGCTACGTAAATAGTTCTGCCTCTTCCTTCTCCGCCATTCCACTACAAGCCGCCCACTCCCACTCCCAGCCCGATCCGATCCGGATCCACGCTTTTATCTCAATCGGCAGCCAGTGGCGTAGCGCTGACCTTTTTCGCAGCTGCCGCCGGGGACGTAGCCCCAACATTTTGATCAGTGGCCACGTCTAAATCCAGTTCCGGGACTGCATCCTGCGTTGCTGTAAGCTGCACGGGCAGCGGCGGCGGCGAGCTGGACAACATGGCAATCGGCGAGGCACTTGCGGTGGCCGCTGCGGCGCCATCGCCCATCCCCCGTTCGGGTGCAACTGAAATTGGATCCGATTCAGCCGCTGCCGCTGCTGGAGTGGGCGTCGGCGTTGATGTTGGCTCCACTACGCGGATCTCTCGCTCGACCGGACTCTCGTTCGGGGGCGTCAACGGCGGCGAGTTGGGCAGTGGAGAGTCGAGCTGCTGCTGGCTAAACTCCTGGTTGGGGCTCTCCCTGGTGAAGAGTCCCATTTTCGATTCGGTGCTGGCCACGCCATCGCCCACGCCCACGCCAGCGCCAATGGCAGACCCAGCTGTGGCCGCACCCTCGCTGCTGTCCGTGGCCGTGCTGGCGTTGATGAGGGATGGGGCGACTGTGGGTGCCGCCGGACCACTCACCAGATGGGGTGGCGCATGCAGCGGCACGTGCTGATGCTGCTGGTGTTGCTGCTGCTGATGCTGGGCGACGTGGTAGCGGGGAATGTCCGCCTTGCGCCACAGCGTGATCTCCTGCTGCTTGAAGTAGCGCCGATCCTCGGTGTCCATCAGCACCAGGTTGAGGAAATACTTGACGGAGAACTTCTTGTTGATGTCGCGCATCGTGGGCGTCAGGTTGTAGCCGGCGAGAAAGACCCGAATGGGTATGCTCTCGCCCTTGACCGGCGCCCCGTCCATGATCTCGTACTTGGCGATCGTCTCGCTCTCGTTGAACATGTTCGGCCCGGTGCCGGTGGACTCCCGCTTGATGATCGCTATCTCCATGTGCTTGATCTTGATGCGCACCAGCAGGAAGTAGATCTTGCCAATGATCGTGTCCCGCAGATGGTACTTGCTCTTGTTGTACTCGAACTCGATGTGCAGACAGTCCTCGATGCCCACCTCCATCTTGATGGGATTGTTCATCTCCGGGTAGCTGCACAGCGTGTGCACGGCAATGTCCACCTCGCGCGTTATGTCACTGATCCGACGCACGATCGTGGCGCGCAGAAAGTACCTCAGCCTCACATTCGAGCCGGCGTACACCTCGAACTGCTTCTCCACGTTCGGGAAGTCGAACGGGTAGCTGTTGTTCTGGATGAGATCCCCGGGACGCGCCAGTGCCTTGGCCAGGCACTTGAACTCGTGATGGGTGCCCCGGTCGTAGAACAGCTCGATCTGTCCAATAAACTCAATCTTGATGCCCTGATGCTCCAGCTTGCTGCCCGGCTTCTTCAGCGTCACATTTACCTACAGCAGCGTCATTCAAAGAGAGCGGAAAACGATACAGAAACAGAAACAGAAAGGCAGATAAAGCCAAAGATGAATGAATTGAGTTCGAGCTTGAGTTCGAGTTGCTGAGTGCTGAATCAGCGATGCCGATAAAGGCAAGGCAATGCATCCCCCCCTCCCTCCACAAGCGACTGTTTCTCTGTGCAATTCTCACCTTGCCGGACACTGTTTCGCCATCGTAGAAGAGCAGCATTTTCTCCACTTTGCCATCCTCACCCTTGACCTCGGCCGTCTTGTGCTCGGCGCCATCGAAGACAATCTCTATCTCGGCGGACTGGCCAAAGCCCAGGAAATTCATAATTGATCAACGTAAATTGGCCTCCCTCCTCCGCTGCTGCTGCTTCTTCTTCTTCTTATTCTTCTACTCCTGCTGCTTCTTATTCTTGTTGGCTGGAATGTCGCTGTGTCGCTCCGTCCGTCCTCTCCGTCCGGTTGCAGTGCAGTGGCTGGCTGTGCTTTCTGCTTTCCGCTTTCAGGTTGCGTTTGCGTTTTGCGTTTGGAGCTGGACTCCACTCTACAAACACTTCTGCTGGCCGCACAATTTTTCTGCCGACACGAATTTACTGGGCGTTTTTCGCCTGTTTTTCTTTTTTGGTGTAGTGTGTGTCAGTGTGTGTGGTGTGGTGTGTGTGCAGTGTGACCGCGGAATTATCGATACAGCTTACCGTCAGACCCTCTGAAATATACCGCAATATATACGAACTCAATTTAAAAATGAACCGTAAATATACCGTGAATCTTAAATAAGTTTCCTCGCCTATGATCTATTTAAAATTAGTGCTAGTTAGGATTCTCTGCGCTAAAACTATAAATTTAGCCAATTCATCATTCAATTTTCCACAAGATTGGCTGGTTTTCATGACTTTCTTATATTGATGTTGCAGCGTTTGGTGAGTATATCATGAAATTCGTAAGAATAAATAATTGCTTCGTTGAGTTTAACTTGAACTTGGCGCTTTTCTGGTCCTTTGGCGAGTTGCCAATCGCTCTGAAACACTGGCAAGCAGTATTCTAAAAGACCAAAACACAATTTACGCCACATTTTTTGGTTTTTTCTTTTATTTACTTTATTAACTAGTTTACTATGCCGTCTCCATCTGTTCATCCGCCTTGGTGCTGGTAAGCTTTTCTTCCGGCTTCTTCAAGCGTTCTAGCATGTTATACGAGACAAGATCCAACTTTAAATGCTGAACACTCAGGGCACTGCCATCCCAATCTCGTAGCATTTTCAATTTCAGTGGATCGCACAGGTTCACCAGCTCTGCTCACATGGAGACAAAAACTAGTTAAAATTTGTGCTTACTACCATTCAAAGATTAGATACTTGCCCATGCCGCCGCTTTTGTACTCGTTGCGCTCCTTTTCAAGTGTAATTGTAATGACGTCCTTGCGGGCAGCATGTTGGTTGGCGCGATGCTTTCCAATTGACTGCTTCAGGTTAATCTGGGCAAGTTCCTCGTCAAAGCGTTGCATGTAGAGGGCAATCAGGTCCTCGAACTCCTGGGGAGTGAGCGGAGTGGTACGGTCCTCTGCGATTTGGCCCAGGAACCAGGTCAGCTTTTCGCCCATGATGTTGCTTTTGATGGCATGACCCAAGCGCACTTTATGTTTGTTGTTCTGACGGCGCGCCTTCTTACCCAGGGCCTTGGTCTTGCGGCTGTTCGGGTGTTTGCATTTATCCAGCTCCTTGCGTAGGTTCGTCTGTGCAAAGGGAATCTAAATATTATGATTTTCTAAGAGTTATTCATTGGAAACTTGCCATTTTTCTGCAAAAATAAACTGTTCACGTTGTTCTGGTCTAAGTGTTGATAAGTGCTGAAAGGAAGACACATGTACAATCGATCAGCTGCTGGTGGTGGGTGAAGAATGTTTACCGCTTCAAATTTAAATTTGAAATGTAAGTTGAATGCAACGGATTTTCATCAAGTTGCAGTAAAACAATATAATTTTAAGTGGCTCAAAAGAGACTGTAGACTATGGTTATATGTGTGCACATTCTAAATGGCAGTTATTTGTCCATCCTCGATCGATCATCTGTTGTGCAAAACTGGCAGCTACCAATACTATCGATAGTGTCAGCTCTATCTAGATCTAGAACCATCTGCTGTCTGTGTTGTCCCCAAAACAACACACACATTCTACACGATCAGCTAGGACCCGTTACTTGCTCCCCATCCCAGCTAAATGGCAACACACCTGCTCCGAAATGGGGCTTCCAGCTGGCTGCTCAAGCACTGTCTTTCCCGCCACCACACAGTGAGTTCATCCAATCAGATTTCCACTTGTTGCTGCCGTCCGCTATTTTCCCTCCAGCCCATGCACACAGAGACAAGCAGTGTTATGTAATCAACTCCGCACATGCACGCCCAGTGGTGCGGGCGAGACAGCAATACAAGTGCCGTTTTAAGATGTCAAAATGCATGCTGCTCTCTTCTAAGCGATGTTTTTGTTTCTCTTTACAGCTGAAGCGCTGCCTGAGTGTGACCTCCAGCCTGGACAAGAAGGTTTCCTTCAATCTGAGTGACATCGGCGAGGGTATACGCGAGGTGACGGTCAAGGAGTGGTTCGTCAAGGTGGGCGACACCGTGGAGCAGTTTGACAATCTGTGCGAGGTGCAGTCGGACAAAGCATCGGTGACCATCACCAGTCGCTACGATGGCAAAATCACCAAAATCCACCACAGCATCGATGAGATAGCGTTGGTGGGCAAGCCCCTGCTGGACTTTGATGTGCTCGACGAGGAGGGTGACGAGGATAGCGCCGACTCCAGCTCTTCTTCCTCCGATGGTTCCTCCAGCGAAGCGGAGACTGCCAAGCCATTGGCAGCAGCGGCTGACTCCAACACTGGTGGTGGTCGAGTAATCACCCCAGCCACTCCCGCCGTTCGTCGCCTGGCCAAGGAACATCAGCTAAACCTTGCCGATGTGCCGCCCACGGGCAAGAACGGACGCGTCCTCAAGGGCGACATACTGGAGTATCTGGGGCAGGTGCCACCCGGCACAAATATCCCTCATCCCACGATTGCCGCCAAGCTGCAGTCTCAGACTGCTGCTACGACAGCCGTCGTCCCCGTTCCTGCTGATCGTGTAGAGGTGCTAAAGGGTGTCCGCAAGGCCATGCTCAAGGCAATGACCGAGTCCCTGGTGAGTGGAGAAGCCATTCAAATCGCAAAGACAGAGACTGATATTTTCCCCCCTGTTTACCTTAGAAAATTCCGCACTTTGCGTACAGCGATGAGATCGACATGTCCAACCTGGTGCAGTTCCGCGCCCAGCTGCAGGCGGTGGCCAAGGAGAGCGGTGTGCCCAAGCTGACGTTCATGCCGTTTTGCATAAAGGCGGCGAGCATTGCTCTGGCCAAGTATCCGATTGTTAACAGCTCCCTGGATCTGGCCAGCGAGTCTCTGGTCTACAAGGGAGCCCACAACATAAGCGTGGCCATCGACACGCCCCAGGGCCTGGTGGTGCCGAACATTAAGAATTGCCAATCGAAGAACATCATTGAGATAGCCAAGGACCTCAATGCGCTGGTGGAGCGGGGACGCACTGGCTCGCTGACCCCCTCGGACTTTGCCGACGGCACATTCTCCCTGTCCAACATTGGCGTTGTGAGTAGGAGGCGGTGGGGGTAGCTCTGGTTAAAATGTTGATTCCTGTTTATTCTTTGCAGATTGGCGGAACCTATACACATCCCTGCATTATGGCACCACAGGTGGCCATCGGTGCCATGGGCCGCACCAAGGCTGTGCCTCGCTTCAACGACAAGGACGAGGTGGTCAAGGCGCACATCATGAGCGTCAGCTGGTCGGCCGATCATCGTGTCATCGATGGCGTCACCATGGCCTCGTTCTCGAACGTCTGGAAACAGTACCTGGAGCAGCCGGCCCTATTCCTGCTGCATTAAATCCGCTCGCCGGCAGGGGCCACCGCTCCCTTCGACCAGACTATGGTCTGACCAACGGATAAGGCTGTTTTTGTTGCATTTATCTAGAAACATACGCATATAATTCTGTTAATCGTTAGAGGTGCCATGCCTGGGCAACCGTGTGCCGCCGCTCTCCCCCCCCCAAATGTGCATTTATAGGAGGCAGCTGCTCTGAGCGGCTCCTCGATAGCTTTAAGCTCCTGGCTGGCACACGGTCAAGCCCCGGATCATGAGTATTCTCTTCAATTGTTGCCCGCTCTTAAGCCCCATAGCCAATCTTAGTGTTTTAAGCTGTCAGCTTCCATTTACAGTCCAACTGTAGTGTGTGCAATTATTTTAAAGCCCTGTTCCAATAAATATCCTATCGGGTTTACAGCGTTTTTGCAAATCAAAAAATATATATTTAAGCTGTAACGATTAATCAGCGATGGTCGTTGCAGTACTGCAGGGGATCTGTATACCGTAATGCATTTCGATACTCCATAAATTCCGCATTATAATTATTTCGTCGGCATGTTATTTGCATTTTTCATATTATATTAAATTTTTCTGCAAACAATTTTACAAATTATTATTTGGCTGTGATTTGACGTCCTATCGATACTATCGATAGTGCATCGACGATTTTGCAGTCGGCCCTACAGCAACGCACATGCGCGGGTTGGAATTCACCGAGAATCCAACAAGTGCGGCGTGGAAATGGCAATGGATGTGCTGCGTACCCGCACACTCGTGCACACTTTCCAGCCGACAGGCCAGCAGTATAGAAATTTCAACATGCGACGTGGGGGAAATGGCCATCCCAACACAAACCCACAAGCGCTGGCGGCGGGGTGCTGGTGAGGGGGTGGTTGGTTCGGTTGGTTGGCGCTGGCGTCCTTTCCGGATTGTCAGTCACACCACGACCAGCGCGCAGTCAGCACACACACAAAGCTGAATTCACCGCTCTGCACCAGCTACGTGCGAAGAGAGGGCAAAAGGAAAAACTGAGAGAAAAAGAACAGTTACTTCAAATTGTTCAACTGCTTTGCATTCTTTTTTTGCTGTTCAGTGATAACCGTACATGGCAGAAAGTTAATTCTTCAAGTGCTACGCCACTCTACAAATTTTGTTGCTATTGCTGCAGTTGCTGTTCGGCTGCCTGATCAGTGCTGCCAACTCGCGATGTAAACAGAATGCAACAGCAACAAATCGTCGCACATTTGCAATAATTAAAAGTTGAGAAACACAATAATTAGTGAATAAAAGAAAGAGGTAAGTTATGGAATTTCATACGCATACATATGTACAAACCCTCGCTCAGGCTTGCCGCAGCATTGTGTATGTACTTACGTACATATGTATGTATGAACGTGTGTATACAACAAGAAACGTTATTTTTGTTGGTGCTGCGTTGCTCTGAGCTGCTTTTTCTGTGCTCTAGCTCTTCTGATTTGCTTTTGCTGCTGTTTTGTTGTATGTATGATGGAGTGCGTGTATGTGTGTACATATATTTTTTTGTGCTTAACGATTTTCCAGTGACCTTGTTGCGTACGCAAGAGCGTACAAATTTGTTCGTTAGTATGTGTGTGTGTGTGTGTCAGTGCTGCTGCTTAGCCTTGTACTCCCACCCTGCGGCTCCCCTTCGCCAACCAGAATCCACATTCTTATTTTACCATCCTCTTTCCACACACACACACACAGACATATACGCTTGTGTGTGTGTGTGTATGTATGTATTTCCATTCTGCGCATATACATTTTTGGGGCCGACATTTTCGTAGCATAGCTTGGAGCGCAGTAGAAATTTATACGGGAGCTTCCAGAGCCCCGCTGATATCCCCAGGAATTTTAACTTGGCATATTGCTTGCTCCCTACAATAGGAATGCGTATGTGGGAGTAGATGAGTGTGTGTGGCTGTGTGTGGGCCATGGTGGGGTGGTCTACTGATAAGACCAACCTTTTGTGGCCTTGATGATAGTCGGGCCTGACTACTAAGTGTGCAATTTTGATGATGGTTGATGGTTGATGGTTGATGATGTGGCTGGATGGACTCCCGTGGCCAGGTGGGCACTAGGGAATGCAACTGCCGAGCCCTTTATTGATTTTATGATACCACCACCAGGTCGGCAGGAACGTGCATTTGGGGTGGGAGGGGGGCAACAACAAGTCATTCACACCACATGCAGACCGAAACGGAACGGAATGGGAGCTATGGCACAAATGGAAATTGCTAAGCAAAGCAGACAGAGTGACAGACAGAGACTGCCAGTCCATGGACGTCCACGGAAGAGCTTGCCCACCTTTCCCCTCTACGCTAAGTGGCCTGAGTGGTGACAGGAGAGTGCTGCCTGCTCCCAGCCTCGCTCCCCTTCCCGTGCCCCTTTCCCAATGTCGCACGTACTTAATTCAGGCCAGAAATTCCATTGCACACGCATAAGACTGAGAGATCCCTGTGGCTGCTGCGTTTCCTTGGGTTGCCTCACACAATTCTCTCACTTGTGGCACACTCGCACCATCTCCATCCATTTGCCATGAATGCTGAATGGTGCTGCACACTGCGTTCTTTGCGAGCTTTTTGTTGTGGAATCATTTGTGGCATTTTGTGTTGCCTTCCCTTCAATTCAGTTTGATTGTTACGTGCAAAAGGCGCCATTCAACCAGTTCTGCAGCTGTAACAGAAGCCTTAGCTAAAAGAAGTTCCTTACTTGCCGTTTCCTGGTCACTTGCACGATTTCTTTGTGGGGCATTGCTTGTTGGTAACCAATGAAAAGGCTTGGTTGCATGTTTCCTGGTTGCATTGGTGATGAATTCAAGACTCTAATCAGCTTCAAGAGGAACAGTGTCCTGTTAGCTATGCTCCTACTTGATCTCAGATCGATTCAAGTGATTGGTTCGAGTATATCCCACTCCCCAAGCAGAGCACAGTCCAAGCTGTCCAAGCGTCACATCTCTCCACTTCCAAGGATGATTTCATAATACAATTCACGCGTATCCAACGCGTACGCTGCTCCACGGCGTTGACAGTTTTTTTGTTCGGTTTTCGGTTAATGACAGTTTCTGGCATTCTGTTTGCTATTTTTAACCCCGACCCACGCGAACGGACGGAGAGTGTGAGCGAACGACATCCATATCCCATCCATGCTGATGTCATATCGCGCGCGTGAGGCAGATGGGGGGTCCGCGTGCGGAGTCTGCGGTCCTGCGGCTGAGGTCCTTTAAGTGGACTCCCTCGGATGTTGTTATTTGCTAGAAAAATAGCCCTACTTGTGGGTTGCTGCGGGTAGGGGTGGCACTGCAGTAACTGCTGCTAGGCTGCAGCCTTGACATGATTCACCCTGACATGTTGTAGCCATTGTGTGTGGCTGTTGTGTGGGAGTCCAGTCCGGATCGGGCCGGGTCTCTATGTGTGTGTGTGTTCGCTGGTTGACCAGAAGGAGGTTGCGGCACCTCCTTCCAGCATAATGAAGCTTGTCAGCTGCAAGCACGCTCCATTGGTGTCCCCCTCTACCACCCTTGGCGGCGTGTCATTCGTGTGATGAATGCGCTGATGATGTTGGATGTTGATGTTGATTTTGACTTTGGTTCGCGTTTTGCTCTCTCTTTTTGCTGCTTGCTGCTTGCTGCTTTCCCCACGTTTTGTTGGCGCGGCGCTGGTGGCCTTGAGGAAAAGTTTCACTCGGCACTTGCTGGGGTGTTTTCCCTTGCATTCCGCTGCCCCAAACTCACACCCAAACCCAAACCCAAGACCCATTGCCATTGCCATTCCTCTAGCCATTGCCACTCCCACTCGACTGACGTCAATGGGATTTTGCAATTTGTGATTCGAGGCTTTAAACTATTTCAGCTTTGACATTCAATTTTCCCCCAGCTGAGTCCCGAATCCGCTTTGTTTGCTGCACGACAGTCTTCCAGGCGTCCTTCGGTACCCCATCCTACACATTCTGTCAGCCTCATCATTTCGTTGCGCCTGCGGCAAGGTCATCAGCCAACAAAGAGCAGGCCACTGACTTGACTTGACTTGACTGAACCTAAGCCATGGACGGAGCATCCTTGGCGGAGTCAGGGAGTTTTTTCTTCATCTCATATTTGCTTTAAGGAATGGTGAAATCATTTAATCGGATAGCAAAGAAAAGCACCAAAGAGTCTTGAAGAGTGCAACATGAAAGGATGATCCCATAGTTGGCAAATATTTTGTATTGTCAGCTTGTTCAATGTTGAATTCTCCTTCTCTGAAGCTGCATGAATTTGTAACATTTTACCTCAACTCAAGATACATATGTCATGAATATTCCGTTAAAATTCCTTTCAAGTTGAGAGCTTTCGGTCAAGAGTGAGACAAATTGATCGACTTGTTGTCAGTGGGAACTTTTGGGCACTTTCGCGGAATGATTTGGAAGCTAAAAGCCTGGAACTTACCTGAGGCATTCGCAGTAGTATCTTCGGTTCTCATCAATCAATGTCCTCAATGCCACAATGATTGATTGGCCAGGCTTAAGCTACAAAATCGACACAGATTGGAGCGTTGCAAATAGTTTGTCCATGCCGAACTGTTGTTGAAGCAGTCACCAGCAGGATTACCTACAAATATCAATACAAATGTAGAAAGCATATAGTTCAATGCTTAATGAATCAAAAATTGTATGACCCATCGTCCTTGGAGCACATGGACACAGAATGGTGCCAGTGGAGGTCAGCGGAAGGTTGGGCATGCTCGGCTCACATTCTAATCCCGGAATGGCATGCAATTAATTACATCACAATTGCAGCATGCGTATTAATTTGCTCTCTATTTTAATGGCTTGTGGCCCTCTCAAGGTTTCCCCTCGCTGTGCTGGCAATGTAGTCGTGGCCTTAGTTTGAGTGGCGTCGCGTCAGCCGTTTCCTAGCAGCACTTTTACTTTTATGAGCATTTTAATGGAGTCTGTGGCGCTGTAACCTTTTGGTACTTTGCAGGAGCGAGGATGTCGGACCAGCAGCGAGCTTCACTGTGCCCCCGCCTGGTCGACTACATGGCCATTGTGGGTGCACACACAACGCCGCCCATGCCCAAGGGACTGCAGGGCTTCAAGGCGCCGCCGGTGCAGGTAAGCTGGTTGCTGGTTGCTGGTTGCTGGTGGCATTGCGTTCCCCAAGTGAATCGAGTCGCTAATATAATTGAATTGCGAGTTGCAGGTGCCCGACTTGCTACGACGCTATCCGCCCTCGGACCATGCGGACTTTCCCCTGCCCCTGGACATGGTTTACTTCTGCCAGCCGGAGGGCTGCACCAGCGTGGGTCCGCGCCGCACGGGCTCGGCCATCCGGGACATGACCTCGTTCGTGTTCGCACTGACGGACAAGGACTCGGGCAAGACGCGCTACGGCATCTGCGTGAACTTCTATCGGCCCATTGAGCGGCCCAGCACTGTGGCGGGATCAGCGGCGGCTGCCAACGAGCGGCAGGGCAGCGGCGGCCATGCAGCTGGTGGATCGGGAAACGGCGGACCGGGCGGAGCTGGCAGCGGACGGGGCGGACGACGCTCCTCCGCCTTCCGGCGCGAATCGTGGCGCAAGAGCATGGAGCGCAGCTCGGACTCGGCGTTCAGCAGGCAAGTGTTGTGTGCTTGGCGCTGGGTGTGTGTGTGTGAACCGCGCCAGGGATTGTCGATTGTCAGCTTCCTTCTCAGTCTAATAGATTTCAAATCACTTCCATAATAGTTACGGCCTCTTAACTACTTCTAGCGACTACAGAAGTAACGTAGCGCCCAGCGACTCGGATCGTGAACTCACCTCGCGTCGGGACTCTGACCAGCAGCGACTCCACCAGCAGCACCACCATCACCACCAGCAGCAGCAGCAGCAGCACCAACAGGCACCGCCGCCCACATCGGTGCCAAAGCTCGGCCTGATGGCCCCCTCGGCGGACTCGGAGTCCGGTGGCAGCCATTCGCCGTCGCCGCGAGCCTCCCGCAAGCGGACCAAGCTGCGCAATCAATCGCTCACCTCGCTGTGCATCATCTCGCACCATCCGTTCTTCACGACCTTCCGCGAGTGCCTGTTCATTCTCAAGAAGCTGATCGATGCCTGTAACGAGTCCTCCTCCCCGAAGCGCGTGGGCGCCTCACAGAAGCTCAATCGGGACAATGTGTGGACGGTGCTGACGGGTCATGTCAGCGATGCGACGCCCTCAATCGTTTTGCATGATGTACGCGAGATCGAGACCTGGATACTGCGCCTTCTCTCCACCCCGGTCCCAGTGCCAGGATCGACGCGTGTGGAGGTACGTCAGCCCAGCGGGAAAGCACTCCCCTGCATGGATTTAATAATTAATTTTTGCTCCATTCCCAGGTGGAGGTGCTGTCGCCGACGGTGCATGAGCCCCTGCTGTTTGCGCTGCCCGATCACACACGCTTCTCGCTGGTGGACTTTCCGCTGCATCTGCCACTGGAACTGCTCGGCGTGGAGACCTGCCTGAAGGTGTGGACTCTCATCATGCAGGAGAACAAGGTGCTCTTTCAGTCGCGCGACTACAATGCCCTCTCCATGTCGGTGATGGCTTTTGTGACGATGCTCTATCCGCTGGAGTACATGTTCCCGGTCATTCCACTGCTGCCCACCTGCCTCAGCTGTGCCGAGCAGCTGCTGCTGGCCCCCACACCCTTTGTCATCGGAGTGCCGGCCTCCTTTCTGGTGTACAAAAAGAACTTTAGGTGAGTGCCAGACCACATTGGTTGATTCCTAACCATTCCTAACAATTAATCAATTCCAGGCTGCCCGATGACATTTGGGTGGTGGATCTGGACTCCACAAAGCTGACACCGCCCACCGGCGGCTACGAGGAAATACCCCCGCTGCCAGAGCCCGAGGGCACCATCCTAAAGAATCACCTGAAACAGGTGAGCGCCCGCCCCTTCCTTCATCCTTTTTAGCTGTGTATATTTGGTCTATATTTGGGCGGTTTCACTTCGAACCAAACGAAGGCTTGAGGCTGTAGGTTTGAGTTTAGTTTACATTTAAATTTTGGCTGATAATCGAGCTGTTACTCGAGTGTCTCAGGGCTCGTCGTCCAGGCTCTGCTTCGAGTCTTGCACCAGCTGCTGGCACTGTTCGTAGAGCGTCAGATCAAGCTGCCGCAGTTGCTGCTGGTGGATGTCCAGCATTCGCTGCAGTCTATCGACCTCGTTGCGCATCTTGAAGACAATGCCCGGAAGCATGGCCTGAGCATTGATCACAACCCGCTCCTGCACCTTCAGGCGTTTCTCGTTGAGACCCTCGTGCCGAAACCGCTCCAGACGCTGCTCCTCCAGCTGCAGTTCCCAGTCATAGTGAATCTTTTGGTGCAGCAAGTGCTTGAGCAGGGCGCGATAGACGATCAGCTGCTCGAGACGTGGATCGGATGCACTACCGCCAGTGGTGGAGTGCTGATTAGGCTTCGGATTGGCTTGGCAGTCATTTTCGTTTGCTTGTGGCTTGCTTAAGTGCGGACAGTTCATGGCGCTGCTAAGGAACATAAACTGTTCACAAATTGTAGAACTTGTGTAAAACGAACTGAAAATCTGAGCGTGCCTGATGCGCATTTGAAAACTGAAAACAAAACTGAGTCCTCAGTCCTTACGCTTGATGTGGGTTTAAAAGTACAGTCACTACGGAGAGCTGTTACGAATAGCTGTTACGAGTTTTTGGTGCTCAAGGGTCTCCAGGTGGCAGGCTCAAGGCTGTAATCGTTATCGCTCTCATAATCGTTATCGTTTCACGCTTTCAAATTTGTTATAATATCTAGACGTGTGTGTGATGTGTGTGTGTACATGTTTTGTCTGTGTGCAGACTAACAGAGCTACCCCTCCCCATAATACACTCTCTCCATCTTTCTTTCTCTTTTGTGTGTCTCTCTCTTCCTTTGCGTATTTGTATACACTTTTTATACACGTTCTTATCCACCCGCCTATCGATGTGTTTCCCCCCTACAACATGTACATCTATCTACATACATAATTCTTCTATTGTCTCTATCTATCTCTCTCTCTTTCTTTCTCTCTGTGCCTCCTATGCTCTGCTATGCATCTGCTCTGCTCTGCTGTTACTGTTCCGACACTCATCTGCATTATCTGTTATATGAAACTTGTTAAACTCGATATCACAACTTTAACTACAACAACGAAAACGAAAACGAAAACAACTCCAATCAATCAACCAACAAATAACAACCCACAACTATGCAGGCAATGCTACTAATGGATGAAGCTGGACTTGGTGTAAATATCGTTCACATAAATGTTATCGTTTCTAGTTTATCGTTTATCGTTTAACCGTTATTCCGTTCCGTTTCTTGGTTTCCTCAGTTCAATAATATACTTTTGTGTACATACTCTAAGCATTACTCATATATAAAATAATATACAAAATACTCAAATGTAGGATATGTCTTAGGCTACACATTTGTAAAACTAACATGCATGCCTTAAGTACAGTCGCCATTCCATATCTTGTAGTAGAGACATCTGACTCGTTCGTTTGTTCGTTCATAGATGGAAAACTGTCAGGGTGATCCTCAGGGTGCGACACTCCACTTTCAATGGATCCAAATAAGCAAATCAAAGCTTCCATTTATCTATCTATCTATCTGTCTGGTACATGCTCTCGTCCCATCTCTTTACTGCTTCGTGTTCTGCGTGCATGTCATGACAGCCCTGTCCTCTATCTCTATCTCTATAGCCCTCTATCTCTCTCTCTACTAGAGTAGCCTTAAATGAGCTCCCTAAGAGCATTCTACTAGCCCATACCCTACCCCCTGTTTCCCCTATCTCATAGACAGTTATGAGTTAGAGCTCTATTGATGGGATCCAAGCCTAACTAATTCGTTTATTTGAACTCCCTCCACAGGCACTCACCTCTATGACGGCCACCAATCAGGCCGTTTCCTCGCAGCAACTTCTGCCCTCGGTGAGGGACAGCCTCCAGGAGCCGCCATTGCTCGGGTAAGCCTTCTTATGCAGCAGCTCCATTCCCCAGTGACGACTGACAAGCCTTCTGTGTCGCTTCTTTAGGGTCTCTCAGATGCGTTTGCCACTCCAGACGCCACCCCACTCGGCCCAGGCCAGCCAAAGGAACTCAATGTCAGCCCAGGGCAGCTCCCGACAGCCCAGTCCCATGAACTCGCCGGCCCTCAATCCATTTGTGTACGGCACGGACGTGGACTCGGTGGACGTGGCCACGCGGGTGGCCATGGTGCGGTTCTTCAACGCCCAGAACACGCTGGCCAATTTCGCCGAGCACACGCGTACCCTGCGTCTGTATCCGCGTCCTGTGGTCGCCTTCCAGATCAACAGCTTCCTTAGGTCGCGGCCGAGGGCCTCGCAGTTCTTGAATCAGTTTGCGCGGACACAGGCTGTGGAGTTCCTGGCCGAGTGGTCGCTGACACCGACGAATGTGGCCTTCCTGCGTGTGCAGACGGGCGTCATGGATCCCATGCAGGTGGGGGACAAGCCCAAGTGGTTCGCCCACTCGCTCACGCCCATCCGCTTCTCGGTGTGGGACGATGGCAGCTCGCTGAACGGCGCCCTGCGATCCCTGAAGCAGCTCGAGTGCCAGCCCACGGACGAGAGTGGCTCCGATTCAGAGGGGGCGGATAGCAGCAGCTCCTCCTACTCCTCCCTCAGCGACTTTGTCTCGGAAATGGCCTCCTCGGACCTGTCGCCCAGTGTGCACGACGTATTTGGCTCCTACAATCGACCCCATGTGGTGCCCCAGACGCTCTCCTCGAACCTGGATCCGGCTCTGGTCTATCATCCACCCAGCAAGCTGCAGTATCCCGAGGGACTGTATCCCGATGCGGCTGCCAGCAAGGCGGAGGATGAGGAGCGCGCCGACTCCCCAGTCTCGTCTTCTTCCAGCCGCTCGGATCTGAGCTCTCCCAGCTTCAACCGCGACTCGGAGTTTGACTTCCAGCCAAAAACGGGACAAGTGCAGCCTGGACAGCCGGGACAGGCGGCCTTTGAGCTAGCCACGCCACTGTCCATGCGTCTAGAGGCCACCATCAAGATGGCCAGCATCGAACAGGAGCCGGACACAGGCGCCACGATGGTAGCTGGCAAGAATATAGCCGCCAGTGCCAAGCTTCAGCGACATCCCAGCGACGTGGAACGGCCCGAGAAGAAGATACCGGTAAGGAGATAATCTTCATTCCTCTGATGCGCCCTTTAACCCATCCCGTTGCAGCCACCTCTGACGCCGCCCGTGAAGCAGCCGAGCGTCAGCAACATCCTGGCCCGCACCGGTAGCTCGGGCTCCAGTTCCAGCAGCCCCGGACGCCAGAGCTCGCAGAGTTCGCTGTTCGAGAACTTTGCCTCGCATGCCAAGGAGCTGGTGCGCGAGACGACGCGCCAGAGCAGCCAGGAGGGACTGCTCGCCCACGTGGACAAGGTGAGTTCTGTGTTCCGGGTTGAGGGTTGCGGTTCTGGCTGACAAATCTTACTTCAATGTGGGACTGATTTTGATGTGCTGTTGTGCCCGTGGTCGTTGATCTGGTCTACTTTCTTTTCTTTCCCTTCTGTGGTACACTCTTCTGTTCGTTTTCCTTTTCCGTTTTGTATTGTGTTTTGCTTTCGTTTTGATTTCTTTGGCGCTGTCGCACGTTCCATGTGTCTGCTGTACTGTACTGTAGCATGCGCTGGACGAAGATCTTGACGACAAAATGCGTCATACCTTCGAAAAGGTTGGTACTCTCCCCGCCCAGTCCCAGTCAACAAAAACACACAGAAAACGAAACACACCGAAAGATAGAAGCATTCACTAAAACACACGATACTCGCTACACATAGCCATCTACTCGTTCAATGTTACTCGCTACATAGTCTTAAGGTACCTGGGGACCGTAAATAATGAATATTTATTTATTTATTTGATTTTTGCATTCATCATCATCCATTTAAAGTAGTTGCACGCAAACGAAACGATTCCTTAACGTTGAGTTTTATTTTTCCACCCAAACCTAATTATTATCATTAATGATTATCCTAAAGAAATTAAGTGATTACGGTCCCTGGTTTCTACTCGTCACGTATTTACGTAACACACAGACACTCGCTGCAAATATCATTTACTCTTTAAATATGACATGCAACATAGCTTAACGTCACATGCCACCACACATCCTCCATCCAACATCCTACATCCTACATCCACTCCCATGTACTGCGCATAGACCATTCTTTATGTGGTGCCGTCTACCTAGATTCGTTGATTGTTGCTCGTTGCTCGTAGCTCGCAGTAGTGCCATCATCGTAGATGCCTGCCTGAACGTAGAGTCACTTGCAAGAGACTTGAGCTTTTCTTTGATTGCATTGAGTGCTGCAGTTCGAAGATTTTAGTATTGTTAAAGGCATTGCAGGCACTCCACTAATCCAGTTCTTATACGATGATCCACAGTTTACGCTGCATGCAAAGAAGGCGGCGGGCGAGGCCTCTAAGCAGGCCCTGGAGGTGTCCAAGCAGGCGGCTGGCGTAAGCAAAAATACCCTCGAGGATCTCACTTATGTGGGCAAATCAACGCTGGGCGATCTTACGAAGACTGCCAAGGAGGCGGCCACCAAGAAGGGCATCATCAAGAACGAGGAGCACACCGGAGGCCCAATGCCGCCGACTGGCGGTGGCTCCAAGCCACCCGGTTCCCAGATGCAGATGCAGATGCAGAGGCAGTTGCAGCAGATACCCGGGGGCGGTACCGTTGGCGGAAGTGGTGGAAGTGGCAATAATTTCTTCTCATCTATCGGCACCGACTTCAACGGCCTGGCCTCCTCCACCTCCACCATGTTCTCGGGCATGTTTGGGGGCAAGAGTAAGTGCTTAAAAATCTTCATCAAGAACTCATGGCTGATCCACAGCACTTGCAGAGAATCAACAGAAGCAGGCTGCAGTGCAGCAAAGACCTTCCAGTGCTGGCTTGGGGAAGGGCAAGTCGGGCATCAACTTTGATCCGTTTCCCAGCCGCAAGGGTCTGGTGGAGCGGACACCGCTGATCAAGCACTCGGGGCCGCGGCAGACGCAGGAGGAGCTTACGCGGCAGCAGAACCAGGAGCGTTCGCACAGCAATGCCGAGAATCAGGCCTTCCTCAAGGACGTGACCAATCAGGTGCTGGCCGGCGAGGGTGTCGGCTGGCTGAAGCTCAATCGCTTCAGGAAACTCATGGAGGACGAATCCTATCGGACGCTGGTGCTCAGCAAGCTGAACAAGACACTGGACCGCAAGATAGCTCCCGATGATCACATTGACGATGTGGTAAGTCCATCTCGCGAGACTTATTGCGAGGCATTTGCTGATCTCGGATCTGTTTCAGTGTGTGACCAAGCCCGTGTGGAAGGGAATGCTCAAGTGTGTGCAGGCCATTGCCTCCGGCCTGGATGCGACCTTTGCAAACTTTGGGCTGGGTGGAATGGCCTCGGTGTTTCAGCTGATGGAGGTGGCCCACACGCACTACTGGAGCAAGGAGATCAACGACGGCAGCGACATGTCCTCCAGCCTGCTCTCCAGCCACGCTGCCAGTCCCCTGGGCAGCCGCGAGAACCTGCGCTCCCCCAGCTCCCCCAACGGCTCGCACTCGGGCCTGGGCAGTGAGTGGGCCTCGCCGCAGGAGTCGCGCAAGAGCTCCACCAACCATGCGGGCATGCCAACGTCCCAGGCCGGTGCCACACCATCGGCCGTATCGCGACGACTGTCGGCTGCAGACAGCCAGGATGGCCAGTCAACAACGGAGATGTTCAAGGACATGTTGTCACAGAAGAGAAGTGCCTTGAAGAACATGCTCACCTCGTTCGATTCGGATGTGAGTAGGCCGCACCAATTGCAATCCCTCTGTGTGTCCACACATAATCCAGCCATAGTCCAATCAGCGCTTGTAGCCAATATCTAGCTAGCAAATGCCAATGCATACCATAAGCTTACTTATCCATTGCAAAGCAAGTCAAATCAAAGCATCGCTCAGTGTATCTCAGTGTATATATCGTATATCCGTATATCTTATCGTTTATTGTAGAATTTGCTTATCCGCATACTCAGTATATATGTATATATATATCTGTATACTTATACATATATATATCTATATCTATATATCTGTATTTGTATATCGCACTTCTTGTGTAGAAGTAGGCTTTGCCTTGCGCCTCCCAGCTCCCACACCTGTCCCACTCCGATCCGATCCGATCCGCTCCGCTCTGCTCCGTTCTGTGTATTCGCACTTAATCTTGTGTGTTATGTCAATCCGTAGGCTGCTGGCTCTACGGGTGCGCTCTCCGTGGTCAGCGATCTGCTACCAATGGGCAGTCTGAGCGTGCGCATGCCCTCCAGCTGCCGGTCCACGGTTTCAGACACCGAATACGAAAATGTAAGTAATCCGAATACATGAGGCTTCGTTCTCTGAACCGAATCTAAACCGAATCTGATCTGATCACAGATCAGTCAGTCTATGGTGTGCCTCGACTTTACGGTTGTTTGCCATTCCTCACTGTGGAAAGCTGCCTCGACAATTTCTCTTCTCCCACAGCCCACATCCAACACTACCCGAAAAGCGAACGTACATCCAATCAACTGACATAATCTCTCTCGTGCATTTCACAGACCACAACGTCAAAGGATTCGAAGAAGAGCGGAAATCTGTGGTCGGGCAAGTCAACGCTTAGTGCCGGCTTCCGCTACACGGGCGGACATCTGATCAACACCTCCTCATCCCCGTCGCCGGACAGTCCGCGGGTGTACCTATTCGAGGGGCTGCTGGGCAAGGATCGCTTGAATCTCTGGAACCAGATGCAGTTCTGGGAAGATGCTTTCCTCGATGCTGTCAGCCAGGAGCGTGACATGATTGGCATGGATCAGGTGAGTTCGGTGGAATATGTTCGATTTTCCTATCGATTTTACTGTCGCTTTATGCAGGGTCCCATTGAGATGATGGAACGCTACAAGTCGCTGAGTGAATCGGAGCGGAAGCGTCTCGAGCACGACGAGGATCGTCTACTCTCCACAATGCTGTACAACCTGACGGCCATCCTTGTGATGCTGAATGTGGGCAAGGATGAGATTCGACGCAAGATCCGCCGGCTGCTGGGCAAAAGTCACATTGGACTGGTCTACTCCCAGGAGGTGCACAATGTTGTCGATCAAATCAATAATTTGGTGAGCCTCCGAACGAGTGAATTGAATACCAAAAGTTAACCCCAACAAATGTCCCTTCAGAATGGAAATGATATTGACCTAAAACCACTGGGATCGAGGCTGCTGCATCGCCAGAGCTTCACTGTCCACCAAGGCACCGATGTGAATGGACCACTGCGCTTCATGGAGGTGCGCGACGATGGCCTGGTGCTGCGCTCCGTGGACGGCACAATTGTGGAGCGCTGGTGGTACGAGCGGCTGGTCAACATGACCTACTCGCCCAAGACCAAGCTGCTGTGCCTCTGGCGGCGCAACGGCGGCCAGACCCAGTTGCACAAGTACTACACGAGAAAGGTGAGTGGTTGGTTGTCTGCAGTCTGAAACGACGGAGTCTAAACTGAAGTGTTTGATCACAGTGCAAGGAGCTGTACAATTGCATCAAAGATGCAATGGAGCGAGGTGGAACTCCGACCAATGTGCCCGAGCTGGGCGGTGAGTTTCCCGTGCAGGACATGAATACGGGCGAGGGTGGCCTGCTGCAGGTCTGCCTCGAGGGTGTCGGTTTGTTATTCTCCAACAGCAAGGTAAGTGCTCCTCCAGCCCGAAATCGATGTCGATCTCGAACCAAACACACTCACTCACACACCCACTCAGCAACGCACACACATGGCTACATCGAACTCTCTCCTTACTCAGCGAATCCACACGCGACACAGACACCCAGCCACCCAGCCACCCAGCTACCCAGCTACCCGCCCCCGACCCTAGATATCCGATATCCGAACTCTCCGCTTACTACTCCGCTCTATGTATCTGAAGCATCTGCCTCCGACTCAACCCCAAGACCCCCAAGACCCAAGAATTTTCTCTCCACACACACACACACACGCACACACACACACAACCAAAACGAATCATACGAAAGAGACACCTCTGCGGACACGCTTTTACCGGTTATTATGGTGTTGTCTGTGTCCACGACCAGGCCCATGACCAGTCAATGGGTTAGGGTTATAAGCAGCATGATCATCCCTAAGCCATTGAATACTAAATCTAAGACTTGGGCACAAAAATCGTTAGGGTTGGTTGGCTCCAAAATCTCAACCCTTGAGTCGGGAGCTGTGGTAAAAATTCCATATGCAGGATATGATATGATATGGTATGATATTTGTATGTACATACCCGCGTACACAGTCATATTGGGTGTATTCTATCTGTATATCTATCAAGATATCGATACTCGTGCATTTTCCCGCCACCCCCACTTGCCTTCGTTTCAGTGTTTCATTTCCAAAACGTTTTTCTTTCGTTTCTGTTTCTGTTTCTTTTTGTTTCAGTTTCAGTTTTAGTTTCGATTTCGGTTTCTCCCCCCCACCATTTTTTCGCTTGTGTTTTGTTCGATTTCCGATGATTTCCCTGTTGTGTGTGTGTATCGTCAATCTCCATAGAAAGGACTGCATCAAAATCAAGGACCTTCTCAATATAAATGTGCATATATACATATACACACACAAGAACATGTATTTATATGTATGTGTACATCTGTATCTGTTTATTTTGTTTGGTTTTCAGTTGATCTTTTCTTTGCAAAAATATGTCTGTACAGAAATGTAAACCCTAAACTGATTGAACCAGCCAGACATAGCTCTGAATCTGAATCTGAATCTGAATCATAAGAGGTCTCCTGTCTGGGGATGTCTGGATAAGCTGGATAATTTCCCATCGATTGTCCTTTCCTTTGAGTGTTTCATTTTCCATGTTGGTTGGGCCAAACCCGACCCAGTAGCAAAACCAGACCCGAACCCCCGAACTTCGCATACTACTTACTACCCCACCAATCCAACCACCCCCAAGCTAACGTATTTTACTTTACTGATCTCTCTCTCTACCTCTCTCTCTCTCTCTAACAATCTATCTACTTCTCACTCTGTCTGTCTCGCTCTCTGTCTCTCTCTCTCTCCGTTCTCTTTCGTTCCGTTTGTTGGCTTTGGTTTTGGCATTTTATTTTGACTCGCCTTCTTATATATTCTTATTCTACTTACATTATATTATTCCTAAGTCATCATATAACCAAAAAACAAAAGAAAAATACAAAAGAAAATCGAACAAATCAACCGAATCTCTTATCTTATCCAATCTTTTATCGATCAAGTAAAAGTATACATGAAAGAAATAAAAAAAAAACCAAAAAAAAATCCAAAATATTTATATATACCATATATATCCAGAAAATCCATCTACTTATATCATATCCATATATTGTGCTAGTGAATGTACTGAATGCTATATTCATTATACTCTCTATTTTATTTATTATCTAACCGATTCAAACGATAACAAAAAAAGAAAAGAAAAACAACCAAGAAAAGCATTTTTCCTTATTCTTTTGATTACTATTGACATTCTTTCGACTCCTACTCTTCGTTTGGTTACATATATGCTCACCCACCGTTTTTGATAATCTCTTATTCGCCTTATCATTATGATTGTCTCTATTAACGATTAACGATTACGATTAACGATTGCTCTGATTAGCGATAACTCGATTAACGACTGCCACCGATTAGTAAATCTTTCGTAAGCGTACCGCCATTTACCCCTGTACCGCCACGCCCCCTAATTCCACTAGAATCCACCTATCGACATAGAAATGAAAAATATTATATAATTAATAGTGCAAAAAAAATACTCTTTCCTCATCGGTATTGCGTTGTCCCCCAGCTGCCAGCTGCCCTGGGACTGGCTGATCAGTCAACCCTCGTGATCGCCACCACTCCCATTAGGCCCTGATTGTGCCTGTTTATCATTTAGCTGTACAATAAGTATATATCGAACCACTTCCGTGTCCCATCGCGACATTTTTGTTTGGTATATTTCTATAAACTAAAGTTTGTTGTGTTTCTTCGCTTTTTATTTCCTTGTTAAACTTCATCCTTGGATCCAAACATTTATATATGTTTAATGTGAAAATACAAAAAGAAAACTGAAAATTAATATGCAGAATGCAGAATACAGAATACAGAATACAGAAGGTGTTCTAAGCTGGTAACCTTTGAGATGGTCCTTGTGTACAATCCTTCCTAGAACAGTTTCCTTTCGATCTTTGGTTCGACTCTGTTTTGGCTGATTGGCTTACGTCTTTGATTTACATCTCGCTAGTGCTTCCTGATCTCTTCCCCCCCCCCTCTCTCTCCATCTCTCTTTTTATATATACACCGACATATGTATATACTATATAAAAGTCTCTCTCGATATCTCGCTCTGTCTCTCTTCCCATGAGTCTTTATCTTTTCTTTCGTGCAAAACACACGAAATGTTCGTACAAGTTTATGTTCTTTGGTTTATCGTAAGCTCAGCAATATCTTTCGTACGCCACATTTTATGTTCCATTGCCATTCCGTTCCGTTCTTATTTCTGTATCCGTATCGATTCTCCTCTGTTCGTTCGTTCTCTCTTTTTCTCCTCCTGTTTGGACGATTTCCGTCCGTCCATCTTTCCCCTTAAGTATGATAACCAAAACAGAAACAAAAGTATTTTAAGAACCAGCAGATCCATGTCCTACCCATGATATATGTACTATAGTATCTCTCTGGAACTCTAATGATCCCCAAAAAAAAAACAGAAAACAGAAACCGATAAAGCAAGCCCCCATAGATTCTCCCCCCTCCGTCTAAGCAAACGACTCTAACATAACAACAACAACAACCACATTTCATATCGTTTCTATTTAGACTATCTATCCCAAAAAAAAAAAAAAACAAAAAAATACCACAAAAACTAAATACCCAAACCGATTCGCCAGCAAATTAGAAATTAAAAATTGAAACTAACAAAAAAAAACAAAAGCAACAAATCTTTATGAACGAAAAACAAAACAAGTTTTCTCAACTTTCCTTTTATAATTTTCTTTGTTGTTTGTTTAATGTTCTCTGTCGAACGTGGAACGCTGCACATTTGCTCGCTCTCCCTCCTTTGTGGACCAACCAAATAATCACGTTCCGTCTCGAAACGAACCGAACCGAACCGAACCGACCTGAACTGAAACTGAATCTGAATGTGAATTGAAATTCGAATTGAACTATTCCAATGATTGGTCTACTTCTCAAACGCAAAAACAAACTTATCAAACAAATCAAAAACAAATCGCTCTAAAAATCGAAACGATAATGATAACGATAACGATAAAAACAAACTGAAAAACAAAACGAATCAAATGAATCTATAATGAAAATACGATCTGAAAAATGTCTGAAAATACGAAAAAGGATTTCGAGGTATTGCAATGAACAAATTTCTTCTTATATTTGAACTTAAATTTATAAGCAACTATTGTTCTTTAAATGCCCTGCTCCACCACCGCCCAACAACGCCGTCACCCAAAGACCCCACACACCCTCACCCTCACCCTCACCCTAAACCACACCAGCTCCTAGATCCCTACACCCTAACTACAACCCTTGCAAAAAATAAATTAAAAAAAAAAACAACAAAATATTTTCAGTTATTGCATTAGTCATCATGATTTTTAACTTGGACTCCTTGCGTTCGAAATACACACTTGATTTAATCCTTCACTTTCACCCACTCACCAAACTAAAGAGTAATAACAACAAACAACAACAACAAAACCAGAAACCCAATAAAAGTATACGAAAATATTCTGATGTGGCATTCAACAGTTGAAAAAAAAAAAAAAAAAAAAAAAACATAAAGTTAAAACAAAAAATTAGTAGTTGATATTGAATTTTAAACCTTAAACCGCAAATAATATATATACACCCTAATGTATATTATTTACATGTATCTTGTTTTTCGTTTTGTTTTCGAACTTTCTCTCTCTCTCTCTCTCTCTCTCTCTAACTCTCTACCTACTTAATTTTTGAACTGTTGGTTAATTAGTTGGTTGGTTGGCTAGTTGGTTTGATTGTGTGTTGAACGGAATACTGAGCCGTACTCTTTGTAAGGCCTAGAATGCGGAATAGAGTACCAAAGTAATGCCGAAGTAGTTATGAACATTTGGTGATTTACCGCTTTTGATTTCGCTTTTTTGCCACCCATTCCAACAGAATAGAAGTACATGCTGTCGTTTAGTTAGTTATTAGTGATATATGCAGAGCACACGCACATGGGGCACCACCACCACCACAAACTCCACTCTCCACCCACCAGGACCACACACTGCCAGTCCAAGTCTTTGGGCTTTCGCATGCCAAGCACTTGCCACACCACCAATTCGAATATGGTCCCACACACCACACTCCACACACCTTTCTGCCCACATACAGACACACTAAGACACTGTAACGTACCCCGCATGGAGAACCCAGAACAGATCACGCCTTCAGAATCAATAGAAAACAAACAAATTCATTGATTACAGTTCTCCCACTGCCTATTCGTAGTATTGTTCCATTCCATGTTTAGTTTTGCATTAGTTTCAATTCCATTCAGTTATTTTCTGTACTGTTCTGTTCCGTTAGTTTCGGACAAAGTCGGTGTCTTGCTCGCTCTCCCCACGTGAATGGACAGAAGAAAGACTCTGAGATGAATGAGATAGAGAAAGCAAAGAGTTCAACTCGAGATGAAAACGAGTCCCTGCGAAGGACAGCAAAGCCAGAACGCATTGGATCGTGTGTTAAGCTTGTTTGGTTGACTATTCAGTTAGTTTCCGCCACATGGTCGTAGAGTGGGTCAGACAATTCACCAGCGAGCAACCAACAATAGACAAGAAACAAAAAAGTTCCTTAGTATTGATTTTGATTTATGTTTTTGCTTGTGTAGAGAGTTCAGTTTGTATACCAACGACTTGAGCATCAATAATAGTAGTTGTAGTTCCAAAAGTGACAAAAACCAAAACCAATTAACAAAACAAAACATGAATAATACCCAAAACCAAATCGTATCCTTAGAGACAAACAACAACAAAATAACTATCCTAGAAAGCCCTTAAATATCTATGAATTAGAATGGAGAAAGCAAATCACAACAAAGTGAAACAGTCCAATGCGGTTTCCCATACACTCCATCTCCATCTCTGTGTAACTTTAAACACTTGCTATAAATCATGCTCTGTTCTGTCTCTATTTCTCACTCACTTATAGACTTTGCTTGCGTTTGCCTCTTCGTCCATTTCCTTTCCAGTTTTGTTGCTTCCGTTTCGAAAGTTAGTGTCTTGAAGCAACAATTTAGCTTGTCTGAATGATCTGAATGATCTCATGCTTCCCCAGCTATAGCTACAGCTACAGTTACACTTTCATTTCCATAATAAGCATCCAATAAATAGAAGTTTTTGTGCTAATTCCACATGCTGCATGCTGTTACATGTGTGTTACGTTATCCACCACATTCCTTCAGCATCCGTTTCCGCATCCGCATTCCTATCCCAAAATACCAGCCTTACACCTCGTCTGGACAACGACTAACGGATTGTGAGAGCGACTGTACCCAACGATCTCTAAACCCCCACCCCCACACAGCCCCTTGAATCTTTTTCTGTCTATTCCCAAGTGAAAGCTCTCCGGGAGATTGCGGGCAGCTTGCTCCTGTTGAGCTGCATAAATGCCAACCGATGAAGTCCCTGAAAATCCAAACGCTTCCCCTGCCCTGCTAGAAATTCATTTAGAAACGAAACAACATTTTGGTTTACTTTTAATTGTGTTTCGATTTTTTGTTTGTGTACTCATACTCGTGAAAGTCACTGTAACACACACACACTCACACTCACACTCACAGACAGTAGTGAAGTTTTAGATGATTTTCCGTTTCCATTAGTGCCGATTGTACAGCAACTGTACTTTCTCTCTCTCTCTCTCTCTCTCTCTCTCTCGATCTCCCACACAAAGTATATACTCTCGTACATGCCTCTGTATATACCTACTTACATAACTATGTAGTATGCCGTTTCGTATCCGTAAACGATATCTAACTACTTAGTATGCGACCATCTCACAAGTGCTAATTAGAACCCCAACCAAAACAAAATATATTCAAAAACCGAGAAACAATATTAAAATTCCGTAATGAACACACCACACCTACATACATACATACATACATACATACATATTTATACATTTACATATGTATGGTAAAAGCGAAGAATGTAGACAAAAATGTAATTAAAAACATAAAAAAAAAGCCAAACAAATGAGCAAGAAATTTATTTAATTTTGCTGCTGCATTCTCTCTCCGTCTCTCGCTCTCGCTCTCACTCTCTGCATCTCAGTCTCAGCTTTTGTTACATTCCGTTGTTTGATTTCCTCTTGCGTTCCCCCCGTGTCGATATCGCCCTTCTGTTCGGGTCCCCTATGTTCCCTTCTGTTATGTTTCGTTCCGTTGCATTCCGTTTTCTCCATCTCCAATGCACTTCTAACTAAATGCCACTACACCAGAAGCATGCTGTACATAGATGCAATATTATGTAGTTGTAGTTGTAGTTGAATGCATTTGTACCCAAAGCTATGCTCACGCCCGGCATGTGCTTGCGATATCGTTAAGCTTTTGTTTGCCTGCTCGCCTGCTTCCGCCTGTCGCTTACAATTTGCCTTCTTTTGTGTTCCGTTCCGTTTCGTTACGTTACGTTTGATTTCGTTGCGTAGCTGTACGTTTGATGACCACGCTAAAGGAAACAATTGAAAGAAAAACGAAAAACGTTAAACCCCTCTCCCCCCCCTCAATGCTATAATTTATCACGTGTATACGCTCCCTCTATCTTCTGTACCTCTCTCTCTCTCGCTCTCTCTCTGTCTCTGCATAACTGCCTACTTCTGTCTCTCTCTCTCTGTCTCTCTTTGTTGAACAAAGTTTTGTGTGAAAGCTTTTTAGTTTTCCGCCTTATTATTTGCATTCGGTTAGTGTTTTTTTTGTTGTTGTGAATTTCGGTTTTGTTTCCATTCTGTTGCGTTACGTTCCCTTCCGTTACGTTCCAATCTTCCGTTCTGTTCAGTGACGGAGACGCATTCGCATGTGCAAACAGCAAAAAGCGCAACTAACCGCCTTCTTCCGGCCATAATTTCAGTTCTTTGTGCGCCTGGACCACATCCGCAAGTGCTTCACCCAGAAGGGCGGCATCTTCGTGCTGGAGGAGTACAGTAAGTACTGTATACACACGCCAATCGATCCGTCATGGCATCTACCTGTGCCGCCATCCAAACTGATCCAATTTGCGTTGCTCCTTTCAGATCCCAAGACGCGCAATCTCATCCAGCGGAAGTATCAGTCGAGCATGGTAAGCGCCAATGTACCCACCATAATTCACCACATTGCTGCCGCGCACACCCCACATTCAGGCACTATTCACCACACCATTCATCAATCACACCACCGCACTCTGCACTCTGCACTCTGTTCCTTTATCGACTGTTTGTACATAAACCTGCTTGGGCATCAGCCAGCCAATCAGAGCCAATCGATCCTGCAAATTTTGTGCAAATTTGTATGTAAAAGCGATAGACGATTGCAATTTGAAATGTTTGACTGTAACAAATAATTGCACAGTTCGTTTTGTATATATACGATATTAAGATTTGTTTTTTTTTTCTTTTCCTTCTTTTTCCATTCACGTCTTTTGTTTCTCTTTTTGCATTCGTTTTCTTTGTGAATATATTTCTATGTAAACGACAACAACATCTACAACAACAACAACAACTACAACAATAACAACAATATGCCTGCAACAACCACAACTACACATGCCAAACACCACCACAAAAACCTCATTAAAAATATCATCGAAACACACACAACCAACCACACCACACACGTACCGCCTTCCACATCGACTCTTGAATAAATGTGAAACTGAAACTGAAACTGAAACCCAAAACCCCACAAAAGGCATCGGAAATAGTCCTGAGCTTCCATCGCGTGACCTCCGTGCAGTTTGCCTACGTCTGTCATCTGAAGGGAACATCCCGTAAAGCAAAAGCTAAAGCTAAAGCCAAAGCCCTTGCCGACAACCCACAAGGAACCCAGGCCCAGCGTCAAACGGATCCACCGCAGGAGGGCTCATTGGCAGTGGAATCCAGCGAAAAGTGAAAAGCAAAGTGAAAATGTGCCTTGAATGTGCTGTGCAGTCCCACATACAAAATCTGATGTAAATAAATTCAAGCAAAACATTTGAAATACTCTTATCTATAATTTGTACGTATGATCTTCCTCCGCCACAACTACAACACACACACACACACACACACACACACAATTGTAACTCAAATGTTCAATGGGGGGATGTTGAATTTTGGATGATTTTTGTTTCTTTTGTTTCTGGCTTTGGCTTTTCTTGAGTTTGAACTTTATGTTTGCCAGAAGTCGCATGCATTCTGGGGTTTCTTTTTGGTTGGTTTGAGGGGAAGCCTTTTGCTTGTTTTGTGCCTTGTTGTGTCGTGCAAGCACCATTTCGTGCCACTCCGAAACCACCCAGCCACCAGCCACTGAACCACAATCGACACTCAGCTCATGACCAAAACACCAAAGCCAAAGAACCACAGAACCACACACGAATCAATCAACTAGAAGAAAAGCTAAAATATAACCCACCCATCCCCTCTGCTACGCCACAACAATTGCCAGTCCGACCAGATCTGCTATTCGGTGCTGTGCGTCTTCTCCTATGTGGCGGCCGGGCAGGACCAGAAAAAGAATCCCGTTGTCATCACGCCTCAAATCCAGGACATACACGCCCAGCAGAAGCAAAAGCATCAATCGCAGTCGCAGTCTCAGTCGCAGCAGCAGCAACAGCTACCAACTGCAGCTAATCCCGCCCAGAACCGCAGCAGCGGCAAGCAGCAGGGCGGCAACATCACCATTAGGCATACGGTGCCGATGCAGAAGCCGACAATCACCATGTCCACAGTCCAGCCGCAGGCCAGGATGCCCTCCTCGGTCACAGTGACTGCTGCTCCAGTTCCAGTTCCAGCTCCAGCTCCAGTTCCAGCTCCAGTTTCGGTTCCAGTTTCAGCTCCCAATCAGCCCGCCACAGGCGCAGCAACAGCCACAACCATTGTGAGTCCCACGCCGCATGGAAAGCTGCCACAGCTGCCGCCCCGAGTGCCCTCCCAGCCGTCGACGGAGAGCCTGGCATCGATCAGCTCGCCGCCGCCCAAGCAACGACTGGGCGGACCACCGCCCGGCCCCCCACCGGCCATACCGCCTCGGACGGGGGCAATCGCTCGCAGCGGATCCGTGCAGGCGCAGCAGCAGCCGCCGCCGCATCAATCGGGGACGCGCTCCTTTGTGCGCCAGGCCTCGGCGAACTCGACGCCGCCGCAGTACACGCCCCAGCCGCCGCCGCCCTTCGTCATACCCAAGCGGCACACCGGGCTGGCCCGCGCCTCCACGCTGACGGGGGCACAGGCCAGCTCGCACCAGCAAGCGCAGCAGTCGCAGCAGCGCGCCAGCTATGGCAGCGTCGCCGCTGTGCTGCAGTCCATGCCGGAGGCGGAGGCTGGCCCCGGCTCTGGCTCGGGCTCCGGGCCCGGATCCCCTTCCGGCTCTGGCTCTGGCTCTGGCTCCGGCTCCGTTGCAGGCCCTTCGCCACAGGCCCACCGCAAACACTGACGAAGGAGTTCATTCTTCAAATTCGGTGGCGGCGGCGGCGGTGGCAAGAGCGATGTAACTGCTGCAGCCGCAGCCGGAGGCGGAGGCGGAGGCGGAGGTGGTGGACATATGGGCGAGGTGCCGCATCCGCACAGCCACAGGCGCGATGTGTGCCGCACCATATGCATTCCCTGGCTGTGATCCGCCAGCCAGGAGAGCCTAGATCGAGCGTAGAGCTAATTTGCAGTCGCATTTGTGGATCAGCCACTAAGCCATTCCCCGCACATACCATAAGGTTCCAATGCAACTTTCAGTCTGCCTCACGGTAGATCCCAACACCAAAATGGACCCCATAAATATATCCATCTGCACGGATAGCATAGCATAAATTATAAACTAAATATTTGAATATATACGAGTGCGAGGACGCACCATACCATACAGTTCCGATATCCATTTTCAGAACCCTTCGCACGAGTAGATGTCAGATGTATTATGTGTATCGCCAATGCAAATCTTAGCTCTAGCCACGATCATATCATTAGCCGCCACTAACTATGCCAACACACACACACACACACACACACACAAGTTGTTTCCTGCTCAGCTTTAAGGCAAAAATGAATATTAAACTCGCTTACCATACCCAGGCTATGGATACCTAAACAGAGATATAGTAAATACTGTTCCGTTCGTGGAATATATTTGTATATTGTGGGCACAACAGAACAAGAGAGCAAGAGGGCAAGAGGGTAGGGAAGAGGCTAAACGTTAAGCAAACAAACAAAAGAACATAACTAGAGGGGCAAGTGAGGGCAATCGTAAGATAGGAAAACGGGAAAAAGTACAGCCGAAAGTCGCAGATGGAGAAATACTAGGCCTACCAGACCTACCTACACCATATTTATGTATCCATCAATCAAGTAACTACAAACAGATAAACAGATCTATTTATTGTTATACTATGTAATATCCATAGTAATATTGGAACGAAGCGGCAGTTTGTCCCGAATTTCGGATCAGTTCGGATCGGTTTGGATGGTAAAATAGCTTAAGGAATTGTCAGGGAACACACAAAAACAGACGCATGCTGGAGTAGGAGAGGTGTAATCATGGAGAGCAATAAGTATGTCGTCTATATACACCTAATATACAAGTAAATATATACAATATAAATATATATCTATTTTTTGTTTCCGAGAGGACAACTGTTTGTTGGTTTTGGATGTTAACAATAAATGCATAAATAAATGAATAATGAAACCAAAACTACACATACATGCATATAAACAACACACACATACACAGCTCTATCTGTGTGTGTACGAGTAATACGATCGATTGTATTTTCCATAGTTCAAATTGAAATAAACGAGGCAAAAGCTAAACAATAAACAAAACAATAATAACATACTGGCAGTTATCATTTCCCCTAGTCCCAGGCTGGATGGGATGGGATGATACTGATACCCCCAAAATTGACCCCCACCACCACCCAAAGTCCCACTTTGACAGACGCCCATTTTTAGACTAAATATTTTAGATTTATTTTAGACTACACGCACGGGCTGAAGATTGTGCGATTGAGCGGTTGAGCGATAATCCGAACTGAGTTTCAGTTGAGCCGCCGTGGCTTTATGCTCAGCCTGACCCCGTTGCCACTCTTCATTACCAGCTCGGCCAGTGGGATGGGCTGGTGATCCTGGTCGGGCATAAACTGATAGCTGCGCAGGAGGCTGGACAGGCTGCACTTGAGCTCCAGCATGGCGAACTTTTGACCTGAATGAAGCAAACGGAAAGTAGACAAAAGGGGATCATTGGATCTGTGGGTGTGGAGCTCACCTATGCAGTTACGGGGACCCGCACTGAAGGCGGCAAAGGCAAAGGGGTGCATCTGCTTCTCGTTCAGGTAGAAGCGATCGGGATCAAAGCGCTCCGGATCCGGAAAGTTGACAGGATCGCGATGCAGCATGTAGATCAGACAATTGATCGAGGCCCCCTTGGGCACGGTGTGCTTGCCCACCTGCATGTCCTCGAGCACCTGGCGCGAGAAGAACGGCACGGAGGGATACAGTCTGAGGGTTTCCTTGATGATCGCCTCCAGGTAGGGCATGGACTCCTTTTCGCGACCCTCGAGATCGCGTGCCTCCTCGTAGGCACGCTGCTGCACCTCCGCGTGCTTGGACAGCAGACTCAAAGCGAAGGCAATGGCCGAGCTGGTGGTGTCGTGGCCCTCGAACATGAAAGTGTCCACCTCCTCACGTATGTCGACATCGCTCAGCTCGGCGCCGCCCTCCAGCTGGGTGAGCAGCAGCATGTCGAGGAACGCCAGGCGCCTCTTGCCGCCCACATCGTTCTCCTCATCCTTGTCCTTGTCCTTGTTCTCCTGCAGCTCTCGCTCCTTCAGCAGCTGCTCCCGCCGCAGTCGAATCACACGATTGGTCTCGTCATGCAGCACCCGCAGGGCGCCATCCCGCTCCTTCCCCATCTCGGTGTACTTGAAGAATATGTTGAGGCGCTGCCAGAAGGAAAAGCTCTGCTTGTGCATCACCCGGCAGATGCTGGTGGCAGGGGAAAAGGATCCTCGAATGAGATGAAGCCACAAACACACACACACACACACACACACGATCGAGGGTACTCACGTCTGGACAGCCTTCACGTACTCGGAGTCACTCTGCAGCTGGGCATGCTTCCTGATGCCCATGGCCGTCTCGCAGATGGCATCCAGGGCGAAGAGCGTGATGTAGGGATAAATGTCGAAGGGCTCGCCATTGGCACGCTCCTTTAGGCGGCTCACCAGTATGCGGCAGTTCTCCTCCATCGGCTCCTTGAACTCGCTGAGAATGCGAAAGTGGAATCCGGGCGTGAGGAGCTTACGGCGACGGTGCCACGACTCGCCGCCATTCGTGAGCAGCCCCTTGCCCAGCCAGGGCTCGAGGAGTCTGTAGTTGCGCGACTTGTAGAGCAGCGCGTTGTTGCCCAGCAGCTGTCGGACATCCTCGGGGTGGCTGAACATCACCATGAGATCCTTGCCGAGCCATATGCGAAATACAGGCCCATGGCGCTCTCGCAGCTCCTTCAGCCAGTTCAGGATCTCTGCGCAAGGAGTTTAAGGATAAGCCAGAGCTCTCGTAGCAGCTCTCAGGACTCACTCACCTCCCTTCTTCAAATTGGCCATCAGCTCGCCCACACTTGGGCCTGGCAGGGTTTTGGCGAATCGCTGCAGCCTCAGAAAATTGAGAATCTGCGGCAGGTAGCGCAGGAACAGTGCCCAGAAGGCAAATGCCACCAGTGCCCACGTACTCATGTCGTTTCTTCACTTAACTCCTGAACACAGCAACAAAAAGGAAAACAAAATTTAAATAATTTTTGAAAACTTTCGGCTTGTTCTTCGGAGCAGCTGGCGTACTGCTCGGCAATCGATCTCGTTTGCAACTAATTCAGAACTAAAGAAAATATTACTTTACTCGCAGTTGTGTCTCAGCGCAGACCCCAACCCAGACCCAATCTGGCATCAGCACTCACGATTTGGTCAGCACTCTGGATGCCCTCGCTCCGCTTATCGCACATCTGGCGCGGAAGTGGTGTCCCCGTGGGGTTAGCAAAATATGAGCGGCAGTTTTCCTAGACCCAATTTCGGCTAGGAAGATGATGCATCCAAGGTTGAGCCATGCTGCTCCCTATGGGAAGAATAGAGTGAACTACACAGGGAGAACGTCTGCACAGCTTTGATGCAGACTGAAAGCTTCCATGGAACGGTAATGCAGCGCTGAGTGCGATGATTATTCGCCCATGCCCGACCCAGGTGTAGGTAGCTGTAAGCGTTTGTCAAACTGGGAACCTCAATGATGCAGCACCCCAGCAAACACGCACCGCACACTTGTCGCTGTGGCCGCCTGCTATCATGGCAGAGATCGGGCGGCTGCATTGCCAGGCCCCAAAAACGAGTTGTGCGACAGCAGCAACAGCAAACAACAACAAAAACAGCGACCAGATTGACGTTGACCCACATATAAACATGTGCATCACATACAAATAATATGCACACACACACATAAAACATAAGCATGTGAATATGCATGTATGCATGGCATGTATAAACGAGCATCCATCGTCTGCGGCTGAGCTTGTTCTTCAAATGCATTCGTCACTGACTTGGTGAGACTGAGACAAAAAGCTATGCACACATGTATGTACACACATGTATGCATGTACGTACGTATGCAAATTGCAGTCATCTGATTAAGCACAAGTCTTATTCAAATGTAAGCAGTGCTACCTAGCAAGCAGTATTACCTCTGGCACACATGCACACACAAGTAGCTGACTGCTTGCTTGTGTGTTTTTCTATCTTATCGACCCGGGTCAAGCATTCATCTCAAAGTGAATTAGATGGGAATTATTAGATGGGGAAGCTCAATGGGCAATCTCAATGGGACGACTTCCTATGCATGGCTGAAAATGTAATTGATTTTGAGACCCTTTTGGCACATTCAGGTTTCAAGTTTCAGTTCATGTTTCCAATAGCTGTAATTGAAGCAGCTTATCAGCCACTGCAACAACAATTGTCGCGATTCAAGATCATTGCAGATAAGAGTCGAGCAGATGATGGTCGTATAATCACTCGTAATACGTTTATGTACACACATGCCTTGCAAGGTCGTTTGGTCTTATTGCTCGTATTACATTGCACTTACATATAAAACGATCTAGTTGACTGCTGTTCCAAAGAACCGTGTTTTGTCAATACGCAGCACACCCATAATAACATATTTCTGCAGCTGTCTGTCCAAAGTCCAACTCAAGCTCTAGAAGCAGACACAGGCAATCCGATTTCTATGCCATCATTACACACAATAACAAACCAAGTAACGGGATCTGGAACCCTTCGCTGTAGCACTCGAGTGCTTGCATGAACATGCATGCATACTTATGTACGGGTATGTACATATGTGTGCCGCAGTATGCGAAAAGCTTCCTCGCGAAAGCGCTTATTGCTTCTTGCTTTCTCTTCTGTTCGTTGAGTTCCTCAAGCAATCACTTTATTCTGTCTTTGACGCTGCAGCAGGTAATTAGCAGATACCAAGGTAAGCATACAATCCACCTGTAGAAGTACAATGTTCAGTGGCTACCAAAATATATACTCGCATACTCGCTGCAGTTCTCTAACAGAAATCGACTACAAATTATAATATTTCAACAATAGAAGTGTGATCTGATCCCATCATAGTGAAGTTCTATGCGATCGGTCCACCTGTTTGTTTGTGCTAACGTCTGGCTATCGAAAGTTGACTCAAGTCATTGACACGTTTTTGGCTTGTTTTCAATGTTGTTCCATCCGAATAGGTTTTATTTAAATGATGGAAACGGGAGGTAAAGCAAGCTCAGTCTTAGAAATGCTAAAAGTATTCATTCCCGCTGGAAGAGTCCAAAGATCAGTTCACCAGTTCAACTTGCCTCTGTTTCGGGATACATCATCATCAATGTTAATTTGTACGTTTTTTTTTTTAATATTGTTCCCGTATTTACCTTCCCGTGTTCATCAACAATATTTTGAATGCAGAAAAGACTTTCTTTCCATTTGCGTTCAAGAATCAATTCTGCAGATGGTTGAGAATCGAGCTAACGAAAGTTCGGAAAGCGGAGACATTTGTTTTGTATTCAAAATCGAATATGTAAACGAGTTGGCAGGCAGCAAACATTTGAAGCAACAAGTCGGTCAATATTTGTCTTTAAATAATGACGCCGCACATTCTTCCGACTCTCTTGTTGCTTTTTTTTGCCAATTTCTGTTTCTGAACTCTACTCCGGTTGGTTGGATTCTTCTACAGAATCTTCTAAAAAAAGGCCCGAACAGGTTCTGGCGAAAGGTGACTTAAGAACTTTCAGATCTTTGTTTTATAAGGTTGCATTTGTGGGGCTTGTTTTTGGATTGTGAAATTGTGCCGTCCTCAGCAGTTTGCTCTCCCCTCATGGTGCTGCTGCTTGGCATGCCAAGGCTGGACCGGGCTCTGCTGACAGTCGGTATATTTGGCAATCAGATTGGCCAAGTTCTGCTGACTGCCGACTGCATTCAATTATGGCAAAAAAGTGAGGCCAATCAGCCAGCGGGTGTTCGTTCAGGGTGACATCTAAGGGTGACACAGCCGATTGGCTGCTGATATGGATATGGATATGGATATGGATATGACCATCACCTGTCGGCCAGGCGGGCACGTCCGAATGCGCAATCCCACGACAGGTATTTGGATCGTTTGCGTTTTCGATTTGGCTGCCTTTTGGCTCTCTCGCAACCGAGTTGTAAGTCGCAGCCCAACTCGACCTTGACCTGTACCCGGTAGCTGGCTCTTCCGACAAATTGTCTTCCAAGTAGTTCGCCTGAGATAAGTTTTCCATATCATGTAGCTTTCGTGGAAGCCATTGCAATGCATTGGAAGCATCTCAAAGGAAATCGGAAGCTCCACCTTGGACTAATTTTCATTGGAGCTGCCCATGGGAAGAATTCTGCACAAACACTTGGCCAGCTCGTATTTATATTTAAAACTGACAAAGTAATTGAATCTTGGTAGAAATATTGGCTTGTGTGGGGTATCCAGTGCACCTCCAGTTCTCATTTCCCATTGGAACCCTTGGCCTTGGACTGATTCGCATGGGAGGTAGAGTTTGCAGAAATGTACATATTAAATGGCATAGAAAACTGCAGAACACAGAACAGATGACTCTGTTAAGTAATAAACTGCAGGTGGTTTAAGTCAATCAAAAATTGGCAACAAATATATTCCAACAATCTTCATCCTAATCTGTGGAGCAGATTAGAGTTTACGTGCCCATAAAAACATGACCCATGTGGTCAGGACTTGACTTACGTTTCATTGTGAAATAATCAATATCAATATTGAGTGTGTGGGCTACTACTCTAGTACTCGTACTACTCTGGTACTACCGTAGTGCCTGGTACTCGTATGTGTGAGCAGGGCGTGGCTGTCGTTTGGCTTCAGTAGCTGGCTGCTGTTTGAACTGCTTAGACTCGAGCCGAGCGACTGGGCGAGCGACTGTCTAGCAACCTTTGGCACATGACGACTAATCGTGGACCCTTCTCGGGCACGCCTCAATGCGTCGATCAGTTCCGGGCACAGACACAAGACGCCAGCCACTAGGTGGAGGGGCATGCGAAGCTTGTTTTACATTCGCATTGCGCATCCGTATCCAGCCATCCATCTAAGTGTAGTAGGTGCAGCCCCCACTAAGGGTACGTACGTACGTCCAACTACTCAATTAAGTGAATGCAAATCGCGAGCTAAAGCATCACCTAGAGCTTCCCCCAATTAATCTGCGTCCGTCCGAAGCTAGTTATTCGATATGGCAAACAACTTTTGGGTGGTATGTTTTCGCTTGAAATTTTGGATAAGTTGCCGCTGCTGCTCCGCGTCTCCTCCAATGTAGACACACACAAATCTTTGTCTTGCCCATGCCTCATACTTATAGCTCGTCTTGGCCTTGAACCTGTCGTAGTTGGAGTCGTCATCTTTATGGCTTGAATTACTCAGCTAAACAGACAGACAGCCACGGGGCCCAGTCCCAAAGCGTGTCCAGAGCGACACGCGCTGGAAGATCCGGAAGAGTTGATACAGGCAACTCCCGACTGGCTTACACTACTGAGACGCACTGTATTATGGCCAGGCATGGACATGGAGTGAGGCGTTAAATATTCGAGCATAAATTGTTTTTACGGCATTTAAATTGTTGCCTTGCCTTGCCTTGCCTTTCCCAGCACTTCCTCCGATTCCCCCCGTCGCTTGGGTGGTTTGCTGTTCATTATTTGTTCTTGTTAGAGCTTGAACAATGTCCAATACATATGTGTGTGTGTACACGAACATACTCATGTACATTATACGTCTCCAGTCTCCATTGACTTCCTCGTTCTTTGGCCAAGCTTTTACGATGCATCCGGACAGCATTGAAAATTGTAAATGGTGTCGGAAAACATTGTCTTTGTGGACTAACCAGAATTAAGGTAACAACTTCAGTGCGACTTCCTCTTGAGGGGACAAATTGTAAATGTAAATACCTGACCTGACCCACCAACCCAACCAGGAACCAATTTGGATTCAGTTGGCTTCATGTGGGGAATACCTGAAACGCAAAGATGAATATCTTTTGATAACCTTCACTATCCGTCCTTATCCGGCCATTGATCTTGACAGTCGGACCAAACTGTGACCACTCACCTGCACGCACCTGCCCCTAACTGGGCCCAGACCCTCGCAAGAACTAAGTTCGATGGGTTTTTGCTTCGAAAGTTGTTTGCGGAATGTGGCGGCAGCATTAAGTTGTCTCTCTCTGCCTCCC